TATATCGCGGCGAGATGGCCATCCACTCGCGCATAACTCCATGATCCGTTTAGATTCTAGGTCCAGCTTTTGCTCGGCAGCGATTTGCTTCAGGCTCGGATGAGTCAACCGTAGAGAGGACATCACATGGTCTATAAAGCCCTGTATCTCCTCTGTGAGCTCTTGTTTCGAACTGTTGGACTAGAGACTTGGAGAGGGCGTCGGCTACTGTGAGGTCTCTTCCAGGAAGGTACAGATGTCGTATATCTCATGAGGCGCATTCGCATCCTCTGGAGGCGTTAAGTCGTCAATCGCCTTTGATCTAAAAATAGCAACCAGTGGCTTCTGGTCGGTGTCTACATGGAAAATCTTTCCGACGAGGAAGTCCCGAACGTTTTCACTCGCCCAAACTTGGGCGAGGCCTTCTTTCTCAATTTGCACGTAGCGGCGCTCAGTGCCAGAAAGAGCTTTTTATGCATAGGCTATGACCTTGATTGCCCTCATTCCCTTGACTGCTGGCAGCTGTCCCACTATGCTGATGCAATCCTCGGTATTCTTCTCCATATTTTCTTGTAGGCTTTCTTAGTCCAAAACAGCTTTATTGCCAAGATTTTTTTAGCGGCGTCGTGGCGGGTTCATACTTCAACTTTTTTCGTTTCTTTCAAATCTAATTGATCAGTGCATTAGCATTTTCTTCTCAACGTTTTAAAAAGCGTGCTACACCATTGCCCGAGCCCGGCCTGGGCCAGGAAACAATCTGCGCTACCTGGCTCAGCAATCTGCTACTTGGCCCGGGCTTTCGGGTTGGCCCGGCCCCGTGCAGAGCTCTAGGCTGGGATGTCCATGACTTCGGGTGCAGAGGGGGGCGAGAGGTCAAAACGTGCATGTGCATATATTATAGGATCGGCTGGATTTCGGGAAGGGGGGGGGGGGGGGGTATGCTGAAGCCTCATGAGCTCCCCCCCCTGGTTGCGCCACTGGCAATGTCCAATTTGAGCCCGGAGGCAGGATGTGGGTTTGGACACCCATTCGTCGCCACGGCCTTGGCAAGAAATTGTCAAAACTTGGGGACTCGAATTATAAGGTGCTCGCTCCCTAATGGAACAGGACTTTCAGGGCACCGACAGCCGCATCCCGAAATGTTGCACGTCGTTCGTCTCATGCCATACTTCAGTGCAATCCACTTATAACGATACCACATATAACAATGCAATGCTTATTACAATCAGTTTCTAGAGTTTCTAGACTAGGAACACTCATTTTCTAGTCCAGATACAACGATAATTGGTTATAACAAATGATTTTTGGGTCTTTTCATTATCGTTATAAGTGGATTTCACTCTATGCTCGACAGAACTGAGGACTCATCATGGTTCAGACGACCCCTCACATTACTATGCATTGTCATTTGATTGAGCTTTGTGTGATTTTATTTTAAGTTGCGTGGGGTTGATGCACTTCTTTTAGGGGGGAGTAATGCTGTGTGCATGACCGAGAGGGAACGCATGTGGCTTTCATGCTGGCATCCGGGGTTTGACGCCCGACGCCGGACGTTACTTTGATTCATTCGTTCTTTTCCGTACTTCTAGAAGATTTGTGTTGGCTTTTATCCTGAATGCTCGATGCTCAAACATTCTCGGCCGAATGTTTGAGATATTTTGTATAGTACATGAGCCCAGCATGGCCTTGCCTAGCAAGTCTCGCTTTAGCCTGCTGCCACGCCAACGCCTCGACATTAACTTCTGCTTTTTCGGCGCTCATTTTCTCTTTTGTTTCTGGCACAAGTTTGCAGATTAAACCTTCATTCTTAGTTTTACAATTGTCTATCTTCTCATCCGCGACAATATCGTTTACATAGCTACGAATTAAGACTGAATCCTTTGGATACGCTTCCAGCGCTTCTGCCACAACTAGGGCAATCGCTCCGAGATATATTTCTGAAAGGACAGGCGCAACTCGAGAACCGATGCAAATGCCAGTTTTCTGTATAAACAGTGCTTCCTGTATTTTAGCGACGGTACTTTGGGTTGTTTTCTTTTGTTGGTGTCCTTGGGTGGCTTGGTTCCATTAGTGTGGTATTTAAAAATATTAAACATTTTCTTTTCTTCTTGTCTTGTTTTGTTGTGTGTAGTTCTCGTGGTTGTGGGATTATTTAAGGATAATTCGGCCTAATAAAGCTGCAGCTGTGGTTAGAGCTTTGCGTTGTCCGTCCCGTTTTCTCCCGCCCCTGTGTAACCATGTCACTAATTAATCAATGTAATTCTATCGAGTCACATATGGTTTTAGCACTTTCGGGTACGCCATCACATCCCCTGATAATCCAATGTCTTCGGTTCCCACTTGCTTTGAAGTGGGTCACAACCTTTGTACAATATAGAATTGAATTCATTATATAAATAAAAAGGCCTCTTTGAGAGGCCTGAACCAGTCTAGGAGTTGAGCGTTGAGCTGAAAAACATTAAAAAACAATAAAATTATGTCAAGTCGGCCAGGTCACTTGGATCCTGCCGACACTATTTATGGACTTGCAGATTTTTTTTAAGGATACTGAACTATATTGATTGGTTTATACTATTTTTAGTACGACTTGCAAAATGCTGGCAGCTACAAGCCTCGTGAGTATATAAGAACGTCAGAGTGGGGCATGCGAGGACATACCACACCAGCGAATTCCTGTGGGGGCTGTGTCCCCCCTCGCTCTGCCTCTCTTATTCTGGCCATGGCTTTTGCTGTTTGCCAAGTTATACTGAAATCGAGTTGTATAGTGTTTTGTAATACAATCATTTAGACCGCATTAAAACTAGACGTGAACATTTCTTTCATCCAGAAATTTAACCACAGTTCTATCCTCCGTTTTGTTTGCAAGTTGAAGTAATAACTTAAAATAAATTGTATTGCATAGGCTTGTGATATTAAAATCATGCAAGCATGCTGATATCACCTTTAGAAATTTATTTTTTAATTTTACGCATTTGAAAGCAGCTTGACGATTGATTTGGACAGGCTTTTCTAGCTACAGGTGGTTGGGTTTAGTGGCAAAGTGTGTTTTATATACTGCAGCTTGGCAGCACGTGGAGCGGAAGCGTCTCTCACTAGCTAATGCTAATTTCGATATGGGCTGTCATTGTACAGTCATGAAATTGTGTTGTCGGCAGTGTTGGCAAGTACATTGTACTTAAAGTACTTCTTCAAGTAGGTTTGAAAAACTTGTACATTACTTGAAGCGCATTCTCTGAGTATGTACTTGTACTTTACTTAAAGTATTATTTCTGGGACTTTCTGAGAAAAGTACAACCCCCGACTTCAAAGTACGTTCCCCAAATTTGGTATCGGTGAAAGTAAGCTTCTTCAAGAACCATGCGCTCGCACGCTTGGCTTTCTGAGTACTACGCGCAACTTTTGTGGTTGAGTATAAGAGTTCAACAACCTTTAACAAAAAAATGGGATATAGTCATGTGAAAACACACTACCGTCCTTTGAGACGCCATCCAGTCATTTTTCTGAGTAGTGGCAGCTATAGGGTCGATAGAAATAAGTGCCTTATAAGTTTATTGTGTTAAATAGTTTATAAGCGAGAGTAAAACAACTACTCTGTGGTCACTTTATCCAAAATTCGTCGCCATTTCCTACAATCACTAACGCACCCCCATTACACCTAGAACAATGCATACCAGTTAAAAAAAAATATAGAAAAAAATGAGATGCTTACAATCCCCTGTAACGCCGATTTGGAGCACAGCTCTTGAGGAGGAGTAGGGAAGGGTCCTGAGGGGAGAAGGTGGAAAGTCCCCTACTACTAACATGGATCTGTATCGACGTGTGCTTAGCGCACGTCGCAGAAAATGCACATCTTTGGTGAGAGCATTGCGTGTAAATTTGGCGGGAATTTAACAGGGTAACTTTTTCCCCTAACTTTAGCGGAGAATTTTTTCCGCTTGATTTAGCGGGAAAATTTTTTCCTCTAAATTTAGCGGGTAGATGTTTTCCGCTAAATTAAGCAAAGAATTTAGAGTGATCGTCACCGTCACTGATGACGTCATCAGTGACGATGACGATGACATCATCGTAATGACGTAATTGTCATCGTCATTGCGCGGTTACGCCGACGCCAGCGGCGATGGCGACGCCGCTCGAACCGGAAACAGGCGCCTAAGAGCTGTAGGGGAATGAAAGGGCATCATGAAAGATAGTGTTAAAAAGTACTTGTACTTTACTTTGAAAGTACATTGTATTTATAGCACTGTACTTGAAGTACATTGCGCCCGGTGTACTAGCTACTTTACTTGAAGTATATGACCTCTCATTTACTTTGCACTTTTTAGATGTACTCTACCCAACAGTGGTTATCGGTGCTGCATAATGCATGGTGAAGACCCCAGAATAGCTGCATAATGCATGGTGAAGGCCCCAGATTAGCTGTCATATTGCACTGGCAGATGTTCATTCTTTGTGATGGAGACAGATTGTCCTATTTTATTGTTGACGCAACATCTTGCTCTGTCCATACAACAAATTTTGGCTGAGCTTTGCCGTGCAGCAGCACAGAGAGAGGGAGATTACTGAAGGGGAATCAAAAGGGGTATTATGCAGCAGCATATTGGGGGTGGCCAGTGAGGTATTTAATGCACTTCACAACTGAGTTGAAGTCTATTAATAAATGTATTGCTCAAGGTTAATCGTCGTGGCTTGTTTCACTGAAAACTCAAGCAGGGATGTCCTAGGGGGCTGGTTTAGTCTAGCTTTTTTAACTAAATCTTTCTTCGAGAAAATTCCTAAAGGCATCGTCACGTTGGATTTCCATAAAATTGGTTGTGCTTTAGATTTCCAACAATTTATGCAGTGCTTATTTGTCTGACACTCACCATTTCACCCAGGCTATGGGGGAAAGTAGATTTGTCCCTTATATTTTCTGCCTGGAAGTTTCTAAAAGAGAACTTCGAGGGCTGGGTGCATGGCTGAATGCATAATGTCTGACTGTGTTGAAAAGTGTGCTGAAGGTGTCAATTGGTTTGTCTTTGCAGGGCCTGACATGTATGCTGGTCCTTGCCATTTTTGCTTCCGTCCTAGGAATGTTCCAATTTGGCTATAATCTAGGTGTAATCAATGCCCCCCAAAAGGTTTGTGCTAATATTTTTAATTGCTTGTTTTGCTCTTATCAAGGGATTCTGCACTTGGCACCACGATTGAAACAAACAGTTTAAGTGGAATCAAAACATGCTATGTCGCATATTACTCAATAAGTACAGATCAATTTAAAGGGAAGCTACGGAGCTTCTTGAAAAAAATGAGTTAGAAGTGAATTTGAGTGTAGTTTTACCCCGTGAACCCAAATACCCAAATGATTTTCAGCTCAAGTATTGTAGAACGCGAGAAAACGCGAAAGACAGTCGCTGTCCGTGACGTCATCGACGGCTCTTTTGGCTGCCCAAGGCTAGGGAGGCGGGGCTTCAGCCCTATTTTGAAATCGCTCGCTCGGCGCGTCGCATTGAAACATAATTTCGATATCTGTTGTTCTAAAGGCCAAGTGAACGCAATTCAAGTGTTTTTTCTCAAATGCAGAACCGCCCCATCTTCCCTTTAATAGTGATCGGTGAACTGGTAGAACCTATCTGAATAGTTTCATGCTTGGCTATGATATGAAAATGCAGTTATAAAAGGCACCCCACAACCTACTGTATCTCTCAAGTTCCTACCACTCGGGCCTTTTCACTTTCACCCACTGCCAGTTTTCTAATTGCATGTTGCTTGACACATACAAGACAGATCTGACAGTGTGATAATTCTCGAGATAACTTGAGCACCTTCAGTTGCATCGCTTTTGATGTGACATTTGCCAGAGCAACCAGAGTGATATAAGGGTCAGAAGAGTTACTTCAAGGTCGATTCACACAAAAACATTTGGTTAAGTTGACCTATTTTTTAGTTGCATTTGTTTTCCTTCCCTGCATTGAATTAATTCTGCATTTTTTCTGCAGGTGATAGAGGGCTTCATTTCATCGGTCTACTTGGAAAGGACGGGCCATGAAATAACGAAGAACTTCAAGGACTGGTTGTGGGCAATCACAGTGGCTGTCTTTGCCATTGGCGGCATGGTGGGAGGCATTTCAGGTGGCATGATAGCCAACCGTTTTGGAAGGTGCGCCTGCTCAACTTGTTTGTCTTTTAATGTTCTCTCAGAAACTTGCTTCAACAACCGATTGCTCACTCGAAACACTGTGCCTGTTTGTCAGTTTTCTGCTTTACCATCCATTAACGGGGTATGTGTGGGTTCTGGACCAGGAAAGAATATTGTAAATTCCTGACACAAGTCTTGAAATTTCTGGCTCACATTCATGAGACATATGCTTGAGTGAAACATATGTTTGTGTGAGATATCCGATACATTTCTTGTGTGAAAAGGTGGCTGGGATGTTATTAGAGTCCTGTTTTCAGTTTCGACGGTTTATAAGCATGCTAGTGCTGGCACACCTTTGAAGCTTTGGTATTACATGTGAACAAGCATTTGCAAGTAAAAGAGGAACTGTTGGAAATTACACTTTCAAACAATTGAAACAAGCGAAATGGTATGCTGCCACTTCAGAAATGCACACACTGCAAAACTGCATTGATGTTTCATGAAACCGTTCTGTAGTTCATTGCATCCCAGCAAAAATGCCAGCAGTTACATGTTCTTGTTCACATGATCTTGTAATGTGTGCATACATACACAAACATTTAAGCAAGCCCTGAATGGAATTTTATTCCAGAGAAAACTAAAGCATGTTAGCACTGATGCATATTTATCTGAACCAAAAATATAGCATGGATGTAATGAGACACAAAGAAGACCGATAACTTCATGTTAGAGCAAAACCATGCATGAGGACATAAAACAGACCCAAGTATGCCAAGGTCAGGCTAAGTATTTGCTCTGATTAAGCTAGATTGCAATTTTTGCAGTAGTGCATACCATACATTCATGTGCATGAAATGGATTCGTACAACATAATTTGTGAATGCCATAGCTCGACAGTTAGGCCGGTGTGCACTGAATTTAGCCGACTGTGGAGAAATCAGTCGTGTTCACAGTAGTTCAACATAAACTGTGTGAATGCTACAGATTTGTAATGAATAAAAATAAATATTCAACATGTGTATTTTAAAATTAGCATATGTTACATATTGATTTTGCGAACTCAAAATGCACTAGATCATTGTGCTTAGCAGACTTGCATAGCACCACACTTAGCTACAAAACCCTGCAAATGGAATCACTGCTGCACAGAAACGGAGCATGTGCAAAAGCAACAAGGGCAATAAAAGTATGGCCGCACTCTCAAAAGTCCTATGGAGAGCCCTGCTATGTATATACTAGTGATAAACCGAATCTGCCGAACTTCAGATTTCGCAAAGTTTCGCACATGCCCAGCTTTTAGAGAAAAGTTCAGCAAAGATTCGACAAACGTCTCCGCACGCGCAAGAATGCGACTCGGCCATGGATTGCGAATTGGCACCGTGTGGTTACCATCACACAGTGTAAAACTGGTAGTACTACCAGCGGTTACGGTAAGGTATGGAGTAAGCGACATGGTAACTGTGTTTGTCAGCCTTTGTGAGTGTGGTCCTCTTTAATATTTTCTGCCTCACGAACAAAAAAAACATCAACCAGGAATTGAGGCAGTCCACTGTGCAAGTGACAAATGATGCCGTACATTGTGTATAACGTGATTTTCATTTGATCTTTCTGGTGATGCAACGAGAGTTTGTTGCAACATGACTAACAAGTACATTAAAGCACTCCTTGCAATTACAGCAATCCTGTTTTGGCTTACAAGTAGTTTGTGCCAAAACAAAATAAAATTTCTTAATTATTAGTGTTATTTTGCAGTTTTCATCTATCTGCATAAAACTAAACACAGAATTATCATGGTTGATGTTGCACATCCGACATTCCTAACTATTCCCATCTTTCTAAACGTTTGCGTGTGTCCTTACATCAAAAACCGGCATTTTAAAAGTTAAAAATGACATTTTGCAAGTATGGGACGTACGCTTTCATGCAAAGCTGGCATCAAGCGACTAAAATCGAAAAACGTGCATATTTACAATAATATTATCGCTTCTGGTGAAGGCTCAGCAGTTGTTGCATTCATTTTCGCGCTCAAAATGGTGACTCGCAGAGAAAGTAAGAACAGTGTTACCGCCTTTATTTTAACAATGTACATGCTTGCAGGCTTGCGCTAATGAGGCCTCAAAACCGAAACTCTCATATCGTGACTGCGTCCACTACTACCCGACCTTGTTGTCACTCCATTTCTGCAAAAAGTCACTGTAAAATTGCTAGTAAACATACGAAAATGACACGGATACAATTATCTTGTACAATATTACATTATCTAGAAATTAATGTGCAGTATGCATTAAGCAAAAAACCTAAAAGCTTTTTTTCACCTGAAAAAACTAAATATGCAACTTTTAGGTCTGTCAACAATTATTTTTGCCAGATCTTCGCTGAATCGTTAAAAACGTTCGGCAAAAGTTTGGCCCATTTTCTTAAGCTTGTTCTTAACACATTTTTTTAACCTTTTGCACCAGCAAATGACTTATAAATGCGGGGATCTTTTGAAATTTTTATGTGTATGTTCATATTCGTTTGGCATTTAAGAAAATGCTAATGCAAAGGAAAGAGCAAGGACATTCTTCCCTTCTCGTGTAGCGCTGAATCCTTAATTAAGGATGCACGTGTGTCTCTTCTTGTGTCCTTTATTGCAGGAAAGGAGGAATGCTCATCAACAATATTCTGGGCATTCTTGGGGGCTCAATGATGGGTTTCAGCCATGCCTCCAGAAGCATAGAATTGCTCATTTTTGGTCGCCTTATCATCGGAATCAATTGCGGTAAGCTCAAGCCTTTTTCTGGTTTTTGAAGGCAATGTTTGTGTTGAAAGTCGCTTCCTAGAACTTTCTATTAGTCTTATAGGCCTAACTTTGGTGGCAACCTTTTTATGAGCAATAACTGGTGACAATGGTGACTCTATGAGCAAAAACTGGAGTTAATCCAAAAGGAATATTATATTACAAAGAGGATTTGTTTTGATAATTTCATATCTGTTAAGCTCAATCCAAACATTTGGATACCTATGTTGTTTTATCTTTACATTGTTGCCATAAGCAATGTTCTTTAAAATGGTCCAGTGGCTCAATAGAGTGGTGTGCAAAGACAATTGAAATTGAGAATAGTACTGCTCGGATGGCTTTATGAATACCCTTCAGGAATTAAGGGGACTATTGGCAGAAGAATGTTTTGATTAATTTTTCAAGAGATATGCAATCTCTAATGAATACCTTTTTTGTTCACAAAGTCACTGATGCCCAAGATATCATTCATGTATAAGAATAACAACTTTATAAGTAATGAAAGACGTTACAATTTTCTATAATGCCGAATTAGAGCGCAGCTCTTGAGGAGGAGGGGGGGAGGGTATGCGCTTTCTTTCCCTCTGTACCCTCCCCTCCTCCTCTCCTGCTCCCCTCCCATTTAGCGGGACATTTTCGCTAAAGTTCCTGCTAAATTGAGTGAAAATTTTCCCACCTAATTTAGCTGCGAAATATTCCCACTAAATTTGCCGACATTTCCCCGCTATGGGAAGCGTCTCATAATGCAATGCGCAGCTATGCCGACGCCGCTCAACCCGGAAACGGGCGCCTAAGAGCTGCGCTCTAAAAACTTTACATTTACAGGACATGCAACTGATAGGACTACAATGTGCGATAGTGTTAGCCTTATTGCCACAACTTCGTTTAATTTTGTTTTACTCTTCCTAGTTTGTGTTAAACCTCTCGTTTTATCACTAAAGCCAATGACAAATATTCTAGCATTAAAAGTGTCGATGCTAGGCCTTTCGGCGGTTTGGTGGTTGGAGGTTGTTGCTCAGTTTAAAGGGCCATTTTTCTAAAAATAACAAGGGTTATTCTTTACGCATAGTGAGCAAGCTTACATATAATCTCAATCATGTCATCAAAATTCTGATTGAAAACCAGCGTTATTTATTCTCAGCATCACCCCATAAGCATAGGTCTGCACAGTGGGGGGGCCAAGCATGCTATGTTTTTGTTGTGTTGCATAGCAAAAATTTAACCTTACTGAATTTTCGCCCCTCCGGAGTCATCAGGGGGTGCCATAACATGCTTGCCCCCACCCCCCCCTTCCCCCCTTTGTGCATGCCTATGCCTATAACCTGAGAATTTTTCCAATGGCGCTTTTGTTTCGTCGGCAATTGGATGACATTACTCTAGTTAATCTAAGGCACATAAGAACCTCGTTGATTCAAAGTCGGTCGGACGGGAAAAAGATATGTAAATTAAGTGGATTTGCAAATTATTAAAAAACGAAAGAAAACAACAAAAATTGTGCGCGAAGCCTTGAATCTTGAAGGAAACACTTTATTCAAAACGAGTAGTAAAAACGAGAGAACATCACCCCAAGTAGTCATCGATATGGGACTGCCGCAATTTGTAATTAGCGGCGCCGACCATCATACTTTCAAGAAGGATAAATATCAGACTCACCGCCATTACATTCCACAAAGCTGCGGACGACATTCAGCGACTGTACACCTTCCCCTTAGGCGGAGGCCCGAGAGGGCTCATCATCGTCATCAATCTCTGCTCTCACACCGTCAGAGATTTCGCTCTTAAGGTCCACGTGGCAGGCTTGCTCATTATCTTTAGTCTGCGAACCTCATGTCAACCGGCTCACCATCGCTGCCCTTAATGGGGGAGCAAAGCCCCTCTCCCTCATCATCAATCCCAGGGACAATACTGGCACTGGCACTGGCAGTATCCGCGGTATCCTCCTAATCCACGGCCTGTCGTATCTTCGAAATATCCAGGGTTTTCGAAGCACCTCTTGATGACTTCCGCCTTCACCTGTTTCCATGCATATACGATCAGGCGTATTCCGTAGACCCGAAAAGACCAATGAAATAGCCCTTGCCATTGTTGTAGCAGAGCAACATCTGCTTCCGAAGGTGGTGGCGATGGATCTTCCGCATATGAGTAAACCACATGTGAGCGATTTGACAAGTGACGGGACAAGCCACGGCGACCCACTTCGCTGTCACTCGGTGAATTGCACGACGAGGCAAATCGCATGAAAGCAACGGGAGCAAGCGACGAAGGAGATGAGAGCCGTTTTCTAGAAATTGAAGAAACCGAGCGACGTGACAGGTGACAGTGAGAAGGCTCTGTCGTTCGTCGCTGACTCTCGCATGGACCAGCAAACAGGAAATGGATCAGCGAAGACGTGCGCCATCTTTGTTTTTGCTGCCGAATCTGGATGCCAACTGGTGCCACCTAGCACCTAAAATTTTAACCTGGAAAACCAAATTGGCGAATTACCCTCGTAGGCACGCGCGGTGCTCATATTATCCAGTCATATTTTCATGAGAAGTCGCGGGACCGTGGAAATTTGGCGGATTATACGGGATTCCGAATAAACCAAGATCGAATTATCGAGGTTCCACTGCACCCCTTTTTGGTGCTCCTTTCTTTCAACCGCTACAAAGGAAAGGGCACACTACAAACGCATAGACAAATAAAAAGAGGATGCAGGAAAAGACTCATGGGAGCCCATGACGATATTGCTGAGCACTTCTGGAAGGTGTTCAGAAATACTAACTTGGGGAAAGTTTACATAGTACTTTTTTCGCAAGATATAGAAATGCAATTTCATTGGCGACCTTAATTTGGATACCAAACCGGATACTATTCTCAATTCTTACGAAAAATTCAAAACAAAAATGCTAATTTTGCAGTTTTGCATCAGGCCTCTGTACAGTTGTTTTCTAATTTTGCTTTTGCAGGTCTGAACACTGCTCTAGTGCCAATGTACCTGCTGGAGATTTCTCCCGTGCCGCTTAGAGGTGGCCTCGGTAAGAAGAGTGCACCAGTTTTTTGCATTTCTTTCGCAACATATTTTTAGTGCTCCGTTCACACCTTGCGAACTGGGCAACGAATGTGTTTGTCATTTTACTTTCCAGGCACAGTGAGCCAGGTTGGAGTTACAGTGGGGATGCTGCTTTCTCAAATTCTAGGTATAGAGGTCATTTTAGGTACCGAAGAAGGGTGGCCCTATCTGTTAGGTAAGTGGCATTTTAGTCAGACTAAGTGTTTGGCATGTTTAGTATTTCTAACAAAGAGCTGGTTCAGACATTTGTGTTTAATCATGGTTGACTGTATTGCAACCATTTGTGACTGCTTATGGCAAGATAACGCGCTGTCATCGTCAGTCGGTTAATCATGGAACACCTCCTATCCGCACACATTTCATAATTTTTTATGTATCATTCTTTCACAGTAGTCTTAAACAATTTTAACAATGTCGTAAGTAGGGCTCCATGGTAGTTTTTTTGTAAATACTGATAAACCTCGAAAATTGTCTAACCCCTGAACCAGTTTTCGTCGAAATTGGGGTAAACCGAAACAGCCCAATGTAGAGCTCTCCTTCACTGAGAAAAACCCGAGATTCCTCGAAAAGAAATCTTCAACTACAATTTTGTTTTGCGTTTGCCTCGAACGTAGCAACGCCAAACTGCCCGCGAGGATACTTTTTTTTTCGGAAAACCCGACCCCATTATGTGTAGGTTTTGTGATGCAAATGCTGCAAAACCTCCAGTCTAGTTGTACTCATAATTGAAGTCTTCCGGGGCTGGAACACGAGTGTGCTGGCGTGTTTTCTCGTCAAATGCAGTCCCGATTGGTCGAAACCCAGTTACCTGCACTCAAATGCAAACGCGTGAACCATACTTAAGTTACTACTATGTTCCGTATGCTAGTTTCAAGGACCTTAGATGGAAGTAAAGTGAGAGGAAATAATGTTTTAACTCTTTCCTGACCGCGCCCGTAGGCCATTGGTCACCGTTAATCGGAGGTTTCCAAGCGTCGTCGAGAAATTAAATTTAGTGCGGAGAATTATGTTCCACAATCTTGTGAGTAGCCGAAAAACTCTAGTTTCGGTGTTAACGTAGGTTTAGGCTTTATTTCAAGCTGGTGGGATGTCAAAAGTAGTCCTGGTAACAGTGGTTGCACTCGTCTAACATAGCTAACTGCTTGCATCAGTTTTCGTAACAAAGATGCCATTATTTACATACTTTAACTGTATTGTGGCACATTTTTTAGACCTTAAGAGCTCTGGGGACGCTTCAAATTATCTTACAGGTTTCGCTTAACAAATGGTTGTCAGTAAACATCACTATAATTCCCAATGCTGTTTTAAGCCGCCACGCATGTTTTATGTTACAAACAAGGCATACAAAAATGCTAAATATGAGGGAGCCGCAATCAAGGCTATGACAAAAGCAAGGTAGAACACAAAGAAAGCCTTCTGCTGGGGATGCGAGGTGTACTATCTGTTTTTCACCGATACAAGCATTCCTTCGTTGAAAAGCCCACGTGTTACAGAGGCTACTCCGCCGACGAACCAAATATAGATTTCAGTCAGAGTACAGTAACTTTCGGAAGTATAATAGCCATGGGTGTGGGGCACATTTTCTATATACGAAATTGTTGTTGTTTGTTGTTTAATTTGACATAGCTGTAGAAGTTTCGGCGTTAATGCGCCTTCCGCATGTGCATTATATATTTAAAAATAAAATTTTACAATCTTTTTTTACATTATACCAAACTTTGTTTCTTTTGAAAGAACAACTAATTGGCCACATTTTGATGTGTCACACTTCTTTACATGCAAGTTAGTGAGGAAAATAAAAGCGGTTGCATGAATCCTTTGAAGATTGCTCTTTTCCCATAATCAGGAAAGCATTAAGTCGCCAGATTTTGTTTGCTGGGGTAGTCCATTGTAAATGTAAAAGATAAAGAAATGGCCTACGGGCGCGGTCAGGCCTACAGTGCTCCCTTTGTGTACTTCTTCCTGTCTGTGTCTTCTTGTGCTGTTCCTTTTAAAAAAAAAAAATAAAGAAATGGGTGCACTATGGTTAAGCACACTCAGAAAGGTGCCCTTTTAAGCACTAATCAAGGACTGGTTCATCTGAGAAGGGGCAATGCTTTTTCTGGAGAAACAATTTGGGGCTGCAGCTCGGGACTCGTGAGAGCAGGACAATCACTGTCCAATTTTTCTTTTAAGTATCTGATACTCGAGAGAAAACACAAATTGCTTTATTCACGGATGTTTTCACAAATATGTGGAAGTCGCAGCTATGATTAAAACTGTGCATGTTTATTTGAATGCACCCCAGATGTGGACTAATTTGCTTTGCCTCAGTTTTCATGCACATGTCTATTGCATGACCTTTCTATGACACTTCAAAATGCTACTCTAATTTCTCAAGCCCGTAATCTTTGAACACTTTTTTTAACGGACAAATTTACAAAGATTTGAGGACATGCACAAATTTTTGTCGGAAATGTAGTAAAGTAAAAAGTATTTATCATTTATGGCAGAAGGATGTCATTGTCTCTGACTCAAATGTAATATACCAGATTGTATATTGTTCAGAACCAGTATTTGAATACCCTTACTTAGGCACATATAGATGGTAGCAGAACCTGACATTTCTGGTGAAATACATAAGGGGTTTAGTCAAAGTTGCATGAATATGAAAGCCAATGAAATACATTAAAACCTCGTTATAACAAAACGGGATATAACAAACTAATGGATATAACAAAGCAATCATAATTCCCCTTGCTTGCTAATAGTGGGAAGAAATGGACATTGGCTATAACAAACTAATGGTTATAACGAAATAATTACGACAGCTCCTTCAACTTTGTTATAACGAGGTTTTACTGTAATGGCACATTGTTGACTCAAAAACTAACTGTGAAATGCTGTTCTAATATTAGAAAATATTAGCTTCTTGAAAAAAATTCTACAGTGGGCTAAGTTGTTCTGCCCCTTCAAACGTGCAGCCATAAGAAGTGTGATTAATTTCCTTTGTAACTTCCACAGCAATAGCTGTAATCCCAGCGGTGCTACAGCTGGTCCTGCTGCCCTTCTGTCCAGAGAGTCCACGATATTTGCTCATTTCAAAGCAGCAGGAGTCATTAGCAAGAGAAGGTAAATGTTACAGTATATTGAAGAATGCCAGTTTTGCACTAGCTGGAAGGAATCCCCATGAAAACTCGTAAATGGTATCCAACAAATCGTTAACCCATTCGCTATCATGTGCGTTGCGTGCTGCCGGGCTGTCTGTACCGCATGTTTTTCCCCTAAAACAAGGCCACACTAGGCGTGACTGTTTTGCTTGTATAATAAGCTTTCACAGTAAAACTCAGTGCAGAAAACAAGAAAACATGTTTATTTACAGGCTTAAGTGGTTCGTTCAAGTCTACAAATCACTAGGCCCTCACAGATTCTTCCTCGTATGAAAGATCTTGAAACACTTCATCCTCGGTCGCTTAGGCGTCGCACAACCAGTGCGCTCTTGTCGTGATTTGGACTCAAGAACTGCTGTCGGAATCGCTCCCATCGTCGACAGAAGGCTCTGAAAACTCACTATCCTCACCAGACGTCTCGTCACCATCGCTGTCGAAGAGGATATCGATGATTTCATCGTCTAAAAAGCCAAACTGTACACTGGACGCTGCCATCTTCTCCAAGCAGACAGTGATCAAGTGGGAAAGACCACACACAAAAGAACAAGCTCAAACAAACACAGTGAACAGAATGACCCTCGCCATCTGTTGGCAGTGTACCGTATCTAACTACACTACCCCGGGTCTGTATAGCGTGCCATCTATGAATTACTTTTTAAAACAGAAATTCATGCAGACCGTCGAATCGCCGGCTTTGGCAATGTGGCCCCTGATGGCATGCACGGCGATTCGCCAGCTTTGGTAGCGAATGGGTTAAGAGACTGGCCTCTTCGGTTGGAATCCTGCTGTCGCAACCCCTGTTCTCTGACTTTTCTTGAGATTTCATTTTAAAGTGCTTCATTCTGGTTTTTGATGTCTCTGTGCTTCATGTTGTTTAGCAGCACAGTCAATGTGGGGTATATAGCAAACATTACACCCACTACTATGAGTACCTCAAGTCTGTAAAGAGAAAACAAAAGTAAGTTAGCTCCACAGATTTGTTAGATTTAGATGGTAGTTATTGTTATGGAAGTTAGATAGCTTTGGGCCATTACTATTACAATAACAGGTGGTGCATACTACACTCCGTTCACCCTTAAGCTGAGACTAGAAGCTATGCCTTCAGCATGAGCTCACTAGCTTCCACAGTGCTTTGGTTGCGCGTGCCTGCGCGTTCACGCTCATTTTAGCAAGGGCAGAAAGCTGCTGCTGAAGGCGGAGTTTCTAGTCTTAACTTAAAGGGGCCCTGCAATCATATTTAAGCGTCTACCTTTTTTGCAGTTTCCACGTCTCTTGGGGTTCGGGCAAGCCAGCGGGCACAGAGAGAGTAACTAAATATCAGTGCGTCATATTTTAACTGGACGACGCGGAAACCCCCTCCACTGACGAGGACGACCCGCATTGCCGAAAGCGCACAAAATGTGACGTCTTTGGTCCTCGGCTTACTACTGGTCGGAGCCACTAAAAGCTTCTTTTTATTCGAAATACAAAATATAAGTGGCGCGAACCGTTTAAATTTTTTTATAAAAGTAGTTTTTGTTCAGTATTTTAGATCAAAAAAGAAACAAATGCAGTTCATAAAGTACGGAAACAAGAAATGACCCGTCAACATACCCGCCACTAAGCGGTAGAAAAGGCGGCGCATACTAGAAAGGAGTAGTGGGATCAGGCGCCGACACGGAAAGGTCCCGGATGTATGCGGCAGCGCTGCGGTCGCATGGGCAGGAGGATCCGACCGGCTCTGAGCGTTCCGAAGGCCTTCGGCGAGAAGCTGTGTCTTACGGTTTGGCTGTTTCGCAGTGTGGCAGCGCAAAGTAGCTTCTATTCTGAACTGATCTTTACCCTGTGTTTGCTGTCGTTTGTAGCCCATGAAGTGTCATGCCGAAGTAGTATTTAATCGCGCAGTAAATGCAATGACAGCCACTCTGGCTGCCCACTGCATACAGCCTATCCAGAACACGTTTTGATGGTGCCCTCTCGCGCAGTCGACACGGAGTGCGGCGGCCGTGAGCGCTCGATAAGCTCACTACTTCTCCTCTAGTTCACGGCCACTCTCAAGCAACCAAGGACATCATGAGGGAGGTTATTTTTTCCTTGTTTTTGTAATTTTAATTTGCCTATAACTTTTAAAATAAAGGGAATTTCAAGAAAAGAAAAGTTTCACTAAGTTACTACGTTCAGTGCTCTCAGGTTCGGTGAAAATTAAAAATTAGGAAAAAAGGCATTGCAGGGCTTCTTTAAGGGTGAGCAGAGTATAGTACTCGCTTTCTTAATGTGATTATAATGTATAATTTGTTTGATTTCACTACTTCTCGTTCAGCCTTACAGAAGCTTCGATGCTCAAGTTTGGTCGAAGATGACATTGAAGAGATGAAAACGGAGGAGCAGGCTCAGCAGCAAGAGGCAAAGGTAAGGCTGTTTCAAAGCAGCGGGAGAAGTTTCTCTCTTTTTTTTTTTTTATTGCTTTGCTTGTTGTGGTAAGTAAGTCAATTCACTTAACAGATGTGGAGTTCATTTAATGGACAGCATTATTCAGCTCGTTGACTCCGCTTCTTGTTTCTTGTTTTGATTTAAAAAAATGGGGTGTCACATTTGTAGCTTCTTGGCATTAAAATTAAAGCTAAGAAGCTTTATTGCAGATCTTTTTGGCGTTTAAGTTCACTAGGCGTAAGAGAGGAGAAAACCCAGATCAATTTCTCGTTCCTCCTCTGCAGTGTTTTTACCAAAATGAGTAACACTGTGGCCCACACTGCCTTTTTCTCGGCCTTGACGCCAAATAGGTTCAACAAAAAAGCAGGGAAAGGGAATGCGAATCTGCATGCTAATTTCTGTTTTAATTTGTCCACTCAGTAGTCTCTCTGCTTTGGAAATTTACAACATGTAGGACCGTATTTACTTGCATAATGAGCGCACCCCCCACAACGGGTGCCAATATTTGGACTTTTCTTTCCCCCTCTCATAATGAACGCGCCTCCAACTTTCGGCTCCACGAGTCTCAAATTGCATCCAATTTAGCTAGCTACCAAGCCAATTTTCTTTTGTCGCCAAGCAGTCTGGCCAAGTCAAGTCAAGTCAAGCCAAGCCAAGCCGCTTTCATAATGGCTGCAAATGCGTAGCTGCGGCAGTTGTGGAAGTGATCAACCGTGAAACCAAGTGGCGCGCACTCTTGATGAAGCTTGGGTCGAGGAATTGATCAGCCCCGGACATTCTTCGCCTATCGGATGCATCAATGTCAACAAACACGCTGTCGTCTGTGGTGCGTTTTTGGACAGTGAAATCGTTAAAGTGATTAGGCCTAATTTCACGTACTCCAGGCAAATGTGTTTCTTTAATCCGTAACAAAACGGTGCATCAAGGCGCATGCTGCGTCGTAGGTTGAGGGTGGGCACGTTAAGTTAACGCGGTCCAGTGCACTCCAGAGGTCGGAGTGCACTCGAGTTAAACTAAACGACATTGTCTCATTTCCGGTGCACTGTGGCGAAGTGAGCTTCGTTGTCGGAGATGGTGCGTGAGAGCTCAAACAGGTCGGTTTCCAGTAAGATGACGGCGTTTCCACTCTTGCGGCCAGTCTCGCGGTGGTCTCACGCGTCTTGCATTCTATTCTCGCGCCTGCTTGGTTACGTAGATACTTCGACGGCGATCATTTGGCAGCTCGTGCAACCATTCTTCATCATGGGAATTAAAAAAAAATGCTGGTGTAGACAGGTATGCAAACATCCTTCAAAGCTTGTTGAATTTCTTCATGTGCATTACAACAATTTCAGGATCAGGCGAGCCAATGAATTTGGCCATTTAGCCGTCATTCTTTGAGGCTTATGGGAATTCAGAAGACATTCGGCGTACCTTTAATTGCCGCACCAACAGCGTTCAGTACAAATGCAAGCTCTTGCTACTACCGCCGTCTCCACGCTCTTATTTCATCGAAGTCATTGTCGATTTTCGACGTGACGGGAGCCATGTTTAAGCACGTCCCAGAAAGCCGGAACCAGAAACATTAAAAATAGACGTCAGATGGCACCTCAATATGAAAAAAAAGTGTGGTCGTTAAGCTACGCTCAGAACTCGCGCACTCGAGCACAGATGTCCGGAGTCTAGAGCTCACTAACTTAGTGTGCCGAGTGTCTGGTGGCCCCTGGTAGCAGCCGTCTCCATGAACGAAACTTGATTCGTGCGTCAGTGGACTTCGTACGAGTTCTTATACGCATAGACGCGGTATATACCTGAGCGTGCCGTCGGATACTAGCAGTATATATCATTTAAGAATGGTCGCACTGCTTTCCATGCTGAGTGAGCTTCGTAGGGCGCTTTTCCCTCGGCAAAAGTCACATCGAAGGCGCCCTAAAATGGTTCACTATTTATAAAGCAGGGTTACTGTGCCACGTCCCCGACCAGTCGTGGGTGTGCCTCCATCACTGGAGACGTGCCACAGTACCATGCCGTATCATATTGGCACCTAATATGACATTTGCACAAAGTGTGTAAATGCAAAAATTTTACCCTGTGTAATGAACGCCCCCCTCCCCCGCCCCGAAATATGTAAATTTTTAGGGGAAGAAAGTGCATTCAATATGCGAGTAAATGTGGTGGTGTAAGGAAACTGATTCAGTCGCATGTTACATTGTTGCGTGCATAAGGCTAACTGTGTATGTAACATATCAAACACCCACACCACAGGCATGGACCATTGCACGTCTTCCGCAGGACTCCTTAGCCGGAGGTGCAAGGCACCTGTCTGCAGTCCTTGGAATGGACCCCCTCTTTCTTCCCGTTCCTTTTTAATGCGAAAGCATTAACTGTCCCATGGAGCGAGCCGACGTTGTCAGTTTGAAGCGCGAAAACGACATCTAGTTTCCCTGATCCCAAAAGTCCCATTGGCTGGCGTGCAGCGACGAGGCTCCCATTCGCCGCTGCACGCGTCAGTTTCAATGACCGCCGCCAGATGGCACTGTGTGTCCGTGCTGCCAGCACGGACATGCAGTGCCATCTGCATGGCATGCATGTGTGCATGGTGGCAGAAAGCGAGAGAAAACTGGTATTTTCGTATTAACTGATGGCAAGGGGGTTTTATAGCCCCACTTTCTTTTCTGTGCAGAGTGAATATAATTTTCACATTTAAATATTCTAAGCTTAAATGGTGAAACAAAATGGTTAGGTGGCATAAGCTAACCGCCCCAGTCCGAAGGCCTCAGCCAGATTCATCCGTCCATCCATCCAGCCAGCCCAGCGCGCTGATGAAACTAACCGCCGCAACCCCATGCCACTACGGGCCCTGCGCCGGTTAAAATGGACACGTTGGCGTGCGCTCAGAGATTTCTGCTTGTCTCGCCGCTGACCAACATGCCGTCGCCTCCATTATGCACATCGTTGGCAGTGCTTCTGCTCGTCCGGACAACGACGAACATGACGCCTCCTCTAGATCCATTCACAACTCATAAGAAGTGCTTAGATGTCTTCCGACTTTTTATTTGGCGCCTCCGCGTGGGCCCTCTCCGGGGCCTTTGTCTCACGCCAGTCAAGCTTCTTTCGTCATGCACTAAACATTACTTCAATGATGCCCGTCTCAAATCACGTATACATATTTTCCTTGTTTGTTGTAATTCACTTATCACTAGATAAGATTGATTTGACCCGATTTATGTGTGAAGTATTTTTATTTTTTTATTTTGTATTACAGTTTTGTTATACCTTTACACTTTAATAGGCTTTGGCCCTTTAAAGTGTAGCGTAGCACAGTAGCTGAGCACTGTGACAACAGAGGACACTGGATTGCTGTCAATAACGCCCAGCATTGTCAACATAAAAACTAACCCTCGGCATAGACTTTTCATTGATTCCGGGGGGCACATTCAAACGATGCCATAAACATAAATAAGTGCCTCGGCGCTTTGCCAACAGTCTATGGCAAGGGGCTCTGCCACATCGCTCAAAGAAGACAGAAAAGATCTGCTCCTCAATGGCCATTACCATAGTCGCCCCTGAAGAAAGGCAGAGTAGGCCTCGAAACGTAGGGTCCCTAATATTAGGATTGGGTTGTTTGTCGTCCTTCATTTATTGTTTTCCCAACCAGAGATATTTCTCTCAAGTGTTTACTTTCAAATTATAATAACTGCAATGATATTCATCTTCTCTACTTTTCAGGTTACCATGTTACAGGTCATATCGACCAGATCACTACAGCTCCCTCTTCTCATTGGAATCTTTATGCATCTGTCGCAGCAGCTGTCTGGTATAATTGCCGTAAGTTTATTCCACCATTTCTTGCATGCTAATAAATAATAACATATGAAGCAAGTTATTTACAGACCTTTTACTAAGAGTAATTTCCTGCTATAAAAATACCTACGCACAAGGGATGTGATATTTATCAATCTTCTACCATTTTTATTAAAGAGTGTTATCAATCAATCAATCAGTTCTTGTTTTATTGTGCTTCCAAATAGCTGGTAGGCCTTAGGGGGGGTGTATATACATGAGGCAGTGTAAAAATATGACTAGCAAGTAATCATAACTAGTACACTTTTTGTGAACTTATAAAAATTATGATGCCAGCAGAAACTTGAATTAAACTCCCACTAAATGGCAAAAGTAATTTATAAATTTTAAAGTTGCATTGTGGAGGGTTTTTAGAACCAAGCTGTTTATGGCTCGGGTTCTGTGGATTTTTTGTGTGCGTGACGAAAAACTATGCTCGCACCGCAGCCATGCACCGCACATGCCGCCTACTGTAGCAGTAACTGTTCTAAAGCAAAAGCCTAAAACAAATGGCATCTTGCACGTGCGTTCGTCAATGCTTTATTTTGGTTATTTACTTCGAATCTTTTATATGGGGAAGGCGCACGCGTGCGACACAAGGAACACCATTCCCTGCATTCTTGAAGCTTGCGTAATTTAGCAATTTTTGTGCGCGTGATCAAAAACTCTACGCTCGCACCGCCCTCTCTTTGTCATTGTTCCAAGCGCTTGTGTACCCAGTTTCCTTTCCTTCCGCTCTCCCATGGTGGCGGTCATGTCGCGTGTGTTTAGTTTCCTCCGGTTCTTAGGGGCGGTGATAGTCATCCAAGCGAATTTATATAAAGAACCAGAAAGACAAGTTGCTGTTCTCCATTTTCAATTTCACTTCTCTTCTTTCATCGTAATGGGGGGAGGCCGCGTATGGTCCGGATTCCCGAAGAGCAACGGCGGGGACGGTAACGAAAATGTCAGCAGCGGCGGCGGGCGGCATGTGTGTGTGCCTATCTTTTGTCACGATGACCACCGATCAAGACAATGAATGTGTTTGTACCTTTGTTCAAAATTCTCTGTCACGTTTGTGTCGTGTGCAAAAAACAGTGTTGTGTGCAAAAAACAGTTTTGCTGCTTATCCACCTTCACAAAGTGGAATGGCACCCAGTTTTTCTACTGAAAAGATTTAAACATATAGGGCTCTTGAAATTATGAAATATTACCTGTGAAATAATGTTATTGGCTTCAATGAATGCCAGTGTGCGAGGATAGCAGACTAGTCACCGAAACTTCGCTATGATTTATCTTTCTGAATTTATGGCTTGACTTTCTATTATTTCATGCAACCAGTGACTTGTTTTGATAAATTTTCAATGTACCGCACACTGCTGCAGCACTACAGCGAGGAAGTGGGGCATAAATTAGTCCGGAAAGCTGCATGAATTCCAAGTTGGGAATTGTCTCACTACCTCAACTAAAAGATTTAAGGTGCTGCTTTGATTTACTGCCCAAGAGAATGTACCTAGGATATATATGCACATCTAGGGCACACCACAAAGACAATCGTTATGCTTGCAAGAAGTACTTTTGCACTATGATGCAATTTGTTAGCCCACACAATGCGTCATGGGTAGATAGGATGCACGAGAGCTATCTGTTGGTGAGGAGTTGCATGGCGCAAGCACCGACGTGTCTTCACATAGCGCATAGCTGGTGGAGTTAGATCGGAATGGGAAAAAGCATTTGATAAAAAAGGGGCGGCGGCCATGGTTTATGGCTACGCAAATCCCCATTTCACTCCTGTTACAATGCATCCTGCATTAAGAAAGGTCTTTAAGGTGTCACTGCATGGTCACTAGTAGAACTTGAGAGACTTTAACGCTTCAACAATGAGTATTAAGATTTTCAACCTTGGGGAAGCTTTTCAGAGGCCCAGCTAGTATCCAGCATAAGTTGGCTTCCCTCAATCTTCAGCTTTGGGTGGGTGCACAAATTCCAAGGCATTATGAAAGGCTTATCAGCCGTCCTGCCCATCCTGCCTTAGCCGTCCTGCCTTTGGCTCCTGCCAAAAGCAGAACGGCTAAGTACCTTTTGCCAATGGCACTTGGAAGGTTCAAAGGCAGTGAGCAGCCTCGTCACGTAATGTCGTCACACTCGGCTGGTGCCAACTGTGCAGCTGGGCTCGAGCCTGACGCTGAGCATACTTTTACACACCGTCTGGACACGAGACCCAGCCAAACTTTGATGCAGCACCTGTGTCCAATCCAAACGCTCAATCTCACCACGACGATGTCAAAAAGCTGCAGTGCACAGGCTTTGGTTATTAAAGGCGGTGTTGCTTTTGGTGTCGCCTTATCCCGTCTGTGACTGGCTCTTACACTTCTGTGCGTGTCTCCCAGGTGTTCTACTACTCTGTGCGGCTGTTTGAGGCCGCGGGGCTTCCTCCGAGCACGGCCAAGTTTGCCACCATCGGCGTCGGGGTGGTGATGGTGGTGATGACGCTGGTGTCCATCCCACTGATGGACCGGGCTGGCAGGCGCACCCTCCACCTCTATGGCCTTGGGGGCATGTTCATCTTCAGCATATTCATCACCATCTCCTTGCTGGTCAAGGTCAGGGCCCTCGCCATTTGTTGCATAATAGCTTCAGAGAATATCTGCGACTGTCTTGGAGGCAGGGTGACCTTAGGGAAACGTGACTTCAGGGAAACGTGACTTCAGGGAAACGTGACCTTAGGGAACTGCGACCTTAGGGAACTGCAACCTTAGGGAACTGCAACCTTGGGGAATTGTGACTTTAAGGAAATGCGACAATAGGGAAATGTGACCTTGAGGAAACATAACGCTAGGAAAATGTGAGCATGGGGAAACACAGCCTTAGGGCAATAGGACGACTTGAAGCGATTTAAAGATACAACACGGAGACCATTTGTAGTGGATAGGGTGTTTGGAACGTGGAGATAATACCACGCACGTTTCCGAGCGAGCGAGCGCGTGCGTGGCTAAATGGTTACCATGCTTGGCTTTCGCGCGGCGGCCCCAGGTTCGATTCCTGGGAGCGGCTGCTTCTTTTTTTTTATTCTTTCAATCTAGCATTCTCGTGAGTTTGAGAACCTTGTCATCTGATTGAGGTATGAATGTTCGTCGCCGAATGTTCCAGAAACCCACGAGGGTACAAAAGGTTCTTCGCATGGCGGTCCGAGGCCAGTCTTTCGTCAGTGCTCGATCCAGCTGCCATGCTACCTTGGGCGCCCGCGATGCCTGTACCTCTGTGTTTGTTTTGGGCACAAGTTCACACCCTTGAACATTTAGCTTCTCCAGTCATTAGCCACCTCATCATTTGTAATTCGTGACAATATATGTAGGGTGGTCACTGAACTGAACAGAAGTCACAAACTGTGAAACCTGGAGAAGCAGCTTGCTCAAGGTTGAAATCGCAACTGGACCGGGGACATTGCAAACCTTTTGTAGCGTTAGCTACACTGGCCAAGGTTGAGCAGTTTCGCGTGGCTCCCAAAGAGCCCTGCTGCGCAAGCGCAAGGAGCAGTGATGTTACACGGCGCACAGCTGGCGTGCCAGAGCCGCCGCCGCCGCGTGCTCTGGAACACTGCGCACGCCTCGCCGGTCTGCACATTCCAGAGGAGTGACGTCATAGCCGTGGCAGACGCACTGGCGCCGCCGCGTGCCCAGCTGTCCACCTCCGTTGCGCAGTGGCCAAGTCTGACGCTGCACCGGAGCCGCTTGATAACGCCTCTCATTTTGTGAGCATAAGCTCATGCTACGTTTATCCTAGCATAGCCGAGCTAAGCCACCGCAGTTTGTTCTGGACAGGCAATCTACGCCTGTCGTCACATCTCTCGTCCAGTAACTGTTCAACAACCGAACCGAGCGAGGGGGTGGCAGTAGGCATAAATTGTCCGTCCTCAGTCCAGCTGTGATTTCGGCCTTGAGTGAGCTGCCTCCCCCGCTTGAGCTGTTTCATTCTGTGCTACTACACGGAATTACTGGTTTGGCTGCCTCGAGGATAGCCATGCCAGCGGTTAATTTTTACCATGCCCCAACTTGGCTCCGCTCGCGGTTTAGGAGGGGGGGGCACGAAGAAGATTATCTTCCCTGCAGAAAACCTACTTTTCCTGAAAACTGGGTTAATCTAAACAAGGGCGCTTGTCTGGTGGAATCGGGTGCTTAACGTATAAGTTTCAGAATTCCCGAGTTTTTGAAGTGTTAATGGGGGCGGTTGTACAAAGTGGGCGCTTCTGTGGTATTTTACGGTAGGTTGTATGTGGACCTTTGAAAGCTACTAATCAAAAGGGTTTCTGGCCGTTATATGGGCCACACTGCTTGTAAAAAGCAAACAGAATGTTTTCGTAAAAAGAAGCTTGATTTAACTATTTTTTGCTCAGCTATCATGTGGCCAAATGTCAATGGTTCCCTGAAATATTTTTTTCAATGTAAATTATTAATCGTTTTGTAAATAAATTGTTTTAAATATAGGTAGTCTAAAAACGTTTGCACACCCCGACCTAGCTAAAACCATTAAAGAGAGTTACTTGTTGATACAAAATTATTATTCTTATACTCTGCATTAACTTTTCTGTGCAACAAAAACCGGCATTGCCAGTGCTTTCAGAAAAATTGGGTCAAAAAATATAGGACAGGCAATGGATAACTTCCTCCTACTGAGCTCTTCGGCTCGTCTTGCCACCTCTGCAGAGGCGAAGGTCAATCTCGCCTATTTTCTCCATTTGCCCGCAACAATGGAGGGTTAAAACACTGGAAGCTAGACCAGCAGTTAGCTCCGTCCGCTTTGCTTAGAAACGCTGAAACCGAGCATAGGCTCTCCTATTTTAAAACTTGAATCTGTCAGTGTTGCTTTCTGAACTCTCATTCAGCAAAATTATTCAGTTACATAAATCGGAAATTGTTTTATATTTCCTTCGAGCTTTCTAAAATAAGGACTGTGTGCTTTTTTTGCAGTTCTTGTACCAGTGGATCACATACATGAGTGTGGTCAGCACACTGTGCTTCGTAGTCTTCTTTGCAATTGGGCCAGGTAAGCTCTTTATGATACTTCTAACATAAATTGATTCTCCTTTGGATTACACTTGCATTAGGTATCCACCTTCTTGTTGCTTGAATTAAAAGAGATGATCAAATTCTGCATTTTTAAGTTAACTATCCTGGATTTCTTCTCCACCTCTTGTCTCTGTACATTTAGAATACTGTAGAACCTCCTTGGTACAGTCACGGTTTCTACATTTTCTGAGCTCTTGCGTTCAGAGTGCCGGTCCCACAGAGTTCCCACAGAAACACAAGTATTAATTGCCCGCTTAGTGCGTTTGCTTTCTCAGTTCCTGCGTCCAAGGTGCCGCTGACGTAGTGCCGGTCGATTCACACGACGACCGATCCGCGGATGGATTGATCCCGCAATGACATGTCCGTAGAACGTCTGCTTCCCAAGTGCATTCAAATGATGAGCAAACAACAGCAAGGATCAGCCATACCACTTTGCGACTGCACGGTGTTGCAAAACGCCAACAGCACAGAGTGGCACCATAGTCCAAAGGGAATGCAATATCAATCGCATTACCTTTGGACTGTGGTGCCTTTTTTTCAACCAGCCTCTGCTGCGTCGCGCGATGACAGCGCTACAGAGTTTGGTTGCACTATCTCTCCACAGGGCGCGGTGCCACCAGGGCCGAGATGCGCTCCGATAGCAAACCGAAACTTAAAAACCCGCTGAATTTGTGCAGTTTTTTAGAAAGCCGTAAAATGCTTCGCGTGCCTTCTATCGTTTTGCAATTTGTTGATTTAGTGTTTCTCGATGATGCTGAGCAATTTTATAATTTAAACCATGCCCTTAAACACAATATTAAAAAAGTTAATTACGCAAAAATAATTAACAACTTAATTATACCGGACTTTAATAATTTTCCTAAATAGGCCCCTGGCCCAGGACAAAATGCCACAAAACTTTTTTCGTTGCGATGAGTAGTTTTCGCAGGAGCGATTTGGCCTTCGTTCTCTGAAACGCCCTGTATATGCTAGATACATGGATTTGCACCTAATTGTACTACTATAACTGCACACAATGCTTGGGTTGTGCTGGAAACAAAGTTATAGTACAAATGGCTTGTGGCTTTCAAGACCATGGGTCTGTATGAGATCAGTTTTTGGGGAAGTTCAATTGTCCCGGGCCAATCTATCACTAAGTTGTCCCAGGGTAATCATTCTTTTCCACGCTTAATTTTATTTTCATTGCTTTCTCTATTGTTAATGTGCTCTTCACCTCTTGCATTTTTCTCTATCTTTCCCTCATTTCTTTGTAGTAACCATGTAATAATACCATTGGAATACTATGATGAATTCCTGTATATAGAGACAGCCTTATTTCAGTGTCATCACAAAGCAACTTTATATAATACTGAGCTTTTCTTTTGATGAGCCTATTCGGAGCAGAGCACTTCAGGATGTGTGCGCAGTTTTGAAGTTGGCCAGTGTCACAGTTAATCTTGCATATTTAGGGCCTTCGATACTACATGCATGGGTGCATGCTTTCCACCAATGAGCTTGTAATGTTTCTAATGAATATAGAAACTTATAAAAGTTTGTTACCTGTTTTAATGCACCGATGTCTTATTGTCAAGCAGTAGGTAAACAAGTACTTGCTTAAATGCCTCAGGCACGGGTTCTAAAACTGGGTTCCCATGAACCCGAAGTTCCCCAGACTACCCGTCGGGTGTTCTCCAAGCTACCCAACTTTTTAAATTCTTTTTACCTCAAAGATAGACGTTTTCTAGTCTATCTGAGCAGGTCTGAGCCATCCGTTGATGCATAACACGTTGCCAAACACTCCCCAGTAAGTGCATTCATTAATATTTTATAAGTCTGGGTTTCTGAAGTGCTTTATTGCAACAATGGTGAGGGCGAAAGGGCTTCCCCAGCTGTCAGTAAAGAAAGAAAGGTCTTCCCTGAGATGTAAAAGTTTGAGAACTTCTGTCCTTAGGCAGCGACCACTTGCTGATGGGAAGTCTTGTCCCCAGGCACGATCCCTTGGATGCTGATGGCCGAGCTGTTCTCGCAAGGCCCCCGGCCTGCCGCCATGAGCATAGGCGTCCTCGTCAACTGGTCAGCCAACTTCATTGTGAGCCTCGTCTTCCCGCCCATGCAGGTGAGAATGGCCATCCAGATAGTTGCTTTCTTGACTCCTTGACCACTCCTTTTGTGGTGGAGCGTGTGAGGCAAATACAGTTGACCCTCAATTTAATGAAACCCGATTTTACAAATTTCCCGATTTAACAAACAAATTTGGATTCCCCACGCAGCCTATGCGCGAGGTTTCCCTTCCTCGATTTTACGAAGTTCCCGATTTAATGAAATAATAGCGGGTCCCGGTGGCTTTGTTAAATCGAGGTTGAACTGTAGACCCCTTTTTGTAATTCAGTCTGGCAGCTTTTACCACTGTCATCATCTCAGTGTGTGGCATCTGTACCAAACCAATGGCGGCCTTGTGGCCATTGAAGGAAGAGGTTGAAGATACTAGCAAGCGGAGGATTACTAGCAAGCTGAGAATGCATGAGATGAGGCCTGTACATTTGGGACATCAGTACGACTTGACGCACAAATTAGATACAATGGCTGCGTAAGCGTTTATTTCTAAGTGTGACAATGGCTGCGTAAGCGTTTATTTCTAAGTGTGCTTCAACCAATCTCTTGGCTCAAGTTTGACTCTAAAGCCCTCTGAAACAAAACTGAAACAAATCAAGAGAAACATAAGGTGATCAAAGAACAAATTTTCATGTGCCATTGACATGCAAAATGGATGGTGCCCAATGAAATGCAGTTTTGTTACCACCATCTGTTTCTTGAAAGTGAAAGAAACTGCTTCCAAGGGTTTTGTAGCAGTGTCGGCTGACGCAGGAAGTTTAATGTAGGGTGCGACATTTAAAAGACAGAGATGGTATGTGTTAGACCGGAAATGTGTAAACTTTGACTCTTTTGTGGTGACTGTAGCAGTCCTTTTTATTTCTATATGTTTGGCAAACAAACTTTTCGGGAGGCAGAACAGTACTGTTCTTACTCTAAACATAGTTAAATTGAGCAAGAATAAATCAACTACTACCCGAAAAGGACTGCAGCTTGCACTCTCTAGGCGACTGGTAACCGCTGAAAATATCCACCTGGTCTGGAAAGTGAGTTCATTCCATTACAGGCGGAAGTCAATTTATTCTTGTGTAAATCTTCTCCAGATTGGGGTCTTCCCCTAAATCATTACCGTATGATCCTGTAAGGATCCTGTAAGGGCGCCCTCCCCCGAGACACCATCCATCTCGTTTTTTCTGGCTAAATATCTATAGCCTACAAATTCCGAAACATCGCCCATCCCCTATTCCCATCAGACATCACTCTATGTTTGACGGGAATCGCATCCATTGTGCGATCTGCGGTACTGGTACGTGTGACAAGGGAGTTCATAGCAGATTCTCACATCTATGTCCGCGATCTGCGCATGTGATATTGGTTGTTGTGACTTACGAGTTGTTCCCACATCTTTATTGCACCGTAAAACTCAAATCTGCTGTGTCCGCGATCTGCGGTGTTGGTTCCCATGACATGCAAGTCTTCGGAGGGTTCCCACGTGTCCTTCGCACCGTGTGAAACAAATTTGATGTGTCCGCAATCCGCTACAGTAAAACCTCGTTATAACAAAGTTGAAGGAGCGGTCGTAAATATTTCGTTATAACCATTAGTTTGTTAAAGCCAATGTCCATTTCTTCCACTATTAGCAAGCAAGGGGAATTATGATTGCTTTGTTATATCCATTAGTTTGTTATAACAAGGTTTCACCGTATATCTTTTACCATGACACGAGAGTTCGTAGCAAATTCTCGCGTGCTTATCGCATCGTGAAACACAAATTTTCTGTACCTGCAATCAGAGGGATTGGTTCCCGTTTCACGTGGTTGTAGCGATTGGCCCAGTGTTTTATCACTTTTTTTTTATATAACGTTTTGCTGTCGTATTTTCAAAAATAGCCCACCTCGATGTTTTTCACCATTTTTCTTTTCATTTTGGGTGGGCATCCTCACGGGCTTCTACGGTATATTTAATGGTTAAACATCTGACTCCACTCTTGTAGTGTTTACAATCACAACTGGTGGCAACTGTTAGCTTTCGTGTGCTCTTGTCGCTAGCTCCCGGTTAGCTCAGTTGGTAGAGCGCTCCCCTAGCCTTGGAGAGGTCCCAGAATCGTTTTCTGGGCAAAGTGAATTTTGTTTCCAGCTGCCACGTTGTACTTCTTTCTTTCAGTAGAACATTGCTCACGAGTTCTCGGTTTCTCTGGTCATTCTGCAGGAGGCTCTTGGAAATTACACATTCCTTCCATTCACTTTGCTGCTGGGCTTCTTCTGGACCTTCACGTACAAGAAGGTGCCAGAGACCAAGAACAGAACCTTTGAGGAGATCTCCGCCCTCTTCAGGAGGGACGACGTGACCAACCTCAATGGGCTTGCCACCCAACGCAACTCTTTAGCGCCCGGGCAGGACGTTATGTTTGAAGAGAAGCCAGAGTCTTGTAAGTTTTGACTGGTCTGGAGAAGAACTGCATGCAAACAAGGCTCGCCCAGGCTTTGCCTTACCACCGAGTGAATGGATGCATGTCAGCCCTTGGTTTTTGTTCACAGATATGGTTTATTTTCTGGCAGTGTGTTCTTTGCCAAGTTGAAAGGCAATGGGTCTCCACTGTGTTCTTTTTTTTTTTTGTTTTTGTTTTTTTATCTTGAAAGGCAGCTTTAGTTTTGATTTTCACTGTAAGGAGCTGTTTCCGAGTTAACTTTGGCCTTTCAACGTTGTAGAACCCGAGACATTGTCTTGCGTCTCGGGTTTTACAATGTTGAAAGTTCACCAGCTCGCTTGCATCTTCTCTGTAATTTCTAACTTTGGCCCTCTTATTTTTGATGTAATGAAGCATTTTAGTTTCCGGTGACACATTTCCTGGAGAGAGTTTGTGGCAGAACACTTAAGAGCCTTTAGGCTTGCCCACTTATACTGAAACACATATTTGGTTCAACCTTGGTACAAAATCAAGTGCTACATTTTATTTCCTTCAATTGGAAAAGTTTGTTTAATTACACAGAGGGAAGGGTACCAGTCGAGCATGTGCTCAATCTTTTTTTTTTTTTTTGTTCTTTTTTTTTAATTTTTAGTTACTTCTATTGTGATGCTGAACATGTAAACTGTGATGTGAAATAAGGGGCTTACTATTAATTGGCAGTTTCACATCGAAGCATCCCACATACTTCAATATTGATAACAGTGATATATTAATTTTTTTTCGAAATCTTTTTTTAGAGATGAGCCTTTACAAAAATAGCAGTAAGGGTGTCTTTTTTTATCTATTTACAACATTATATTCTGTCAAGAGGCCAGTGAATTTTCTGTTTGCCACCTGTTTAATTTTTTATTGCAAACTGTTAATGGCAGATGAGAACCAATTATATGTACAGTTGTTTGAAAGATGGGTCAGTTACATTTATGGCAATGTCCCTGATTTAGGGCATGTGAACAGAGACAATTCTCTCATCTTGCTTCTGAGCCAGATGGGATATATTGGTTCAGTTTTTGTTATTACAATGTCTTGACGTCTTGCAGTAGGTTTTCATACCGTGATTGATAAGGAATGCCCTAGAGTCCTGAGAATGGCACTTTATGTTTCACTAAGTGACTCACTTCAGAGCATCGTAGATAGAAAGTCTCTTAAAAAAAATGTTGGTTGCCACTCTGAGGCTTCCAGGAGGTTAATTTTCAACTTCTTCCTGCTAGCTTTGACTGTCCTCATATTCTGTTTGGACTACTCATGCTGCATGTGCAATCTGTGCAGGCACGCAGCCAGGATTTTGTTTCCGGGGGGTGGGGGGGTCGCCCATGGCAAAATGCTGTATGAGGGGGAGGGGGGAGAGGAGGCCCCAGCAGAATGGAAGATTTGGGGGGGGGGGCCTGTGCCCGATGGGCCCCCCCTCCCCCTGGCTATGTGCCTGAATCTGTGGATGGGTAATTTCTAGCTATATGCATGCTGTGATTGTTTTGTACTTTTGTGCATGCCTTTGTATTTTGCCATTTACAAGAAATTTTTCTATTTACCAAAGAAGTTGATCTTTTCACAGTTATACTTCTGAATACCTGTATCTTGCCCTTGCGTGCCATATTTTGTTATTATTTGGTTATGCATGGAAGTTGCATTGTTCTTTGCCTTTTGATTGAGCTTATTTTACCAGAGGCAGGCATGACAGCGTGCTGCACCTTGTATTTGCAGCCATTTAAATACTCTTTTGTCTCACTTGCTTTGCTGCAATAAACTCACAACTTGTTGAGTCACACAAATTATATGATGTTGGTGCATATAGACAATAGCAGTTTTTTTTATTTTGTGCAAACCATGAATGTTGAAATGAGATTATAGCATTAAAACTAGAAATAGGCTGATATCCTGCTTGAGAAGCAGTAGTGGAGATTAATTACAAAAGTTCTGTTGGCTGCTACCAGCACATAATACCATATTTACTCAAATCTAACGCGCCTTCAATTGTACCATGCACACATTTTTCGAGGTCCGAAAAAAAACAAAAAAAAAACACGATGACCTTGATTGTTGCACGCACCAGATTTTATAGGTTGGATACAGAAATTAAACTTATTCTCACTTGGAACAACGAAGGTTTATTCCAAATGCTTCAATCTTGCGATGAAATAAACGGTGCAGTCTCTCGCCGGCAATGTCGTCATCACGACGACGGCCTGGCGCAGCGCCCGTGGGGCGGCATGCATCACTCCTGATCGTTGTCGGACGACTCCTTATCGCTGTCAGCGGCCCAAAGCATTTCATCTTCGGTGCCGTCCATAGCGTTAGAAATTCCGCACTTCTTGAATGCCTTGGTAACCGTGGCAGACGGGATCATGCACCACGCATCTTTTGCCCATTGCACGTGATGCGGCCCGATTTCCATCGCTCTCCACGCACAATATAACTTTTCTTTTGATTCCAATATCATGGCGAACGCGGCGTGTCTTTGCAGTGGGAACTTCCACGCTGATACGAACGCAAGAAACAAACGAGCTGGCTATGCTCTAAGTCTCTCAGCTTCTTAGCGTGTAATGGAGTGGCCATTTTGAAATGTCGATGGCGATACGGTAGCGCAGTTTTGGGTCGCACTCGATTCTAGCGCGCATGCGATGTTTGGACCTATTTCCTTGGAAAAAAGGTGTGTGTTAGATTCGAGTAAATACGGTAACTAACAAATCGTGAGATGGTGAAATTTTGGTGTTAATGTGAAGGACAAAGAAAAAAATTTGTATCTTACTTACAGGCTAATCATACTGCAGTATCTGCCTTTGAGTGTCATTGAAAATTTGTGTTTCTGTTCACAGACGGAACATTCTTCGCATGAGCATCACGGGCATGGCTGTTGTCACTTCTATCTTGTTCAAGGCACATGATATTGTGTATGCCAAGCATGTTAATGTACTGTGCTTGTCTGGTTACAAATGCCCTATAATGTCTGCATGTCATATTCGGTTACATTTTCTATAGCTAGCCCTTGTTTATCACTTGCCTTTGCTTTGTAGCAGATCTTCAGGGGGAAGTATGCTCATCTTTTACATTGTTTACTCATAATTTTTTTGTCTTCGTTGTTGAACAGCTTTATGATAAAAGCATGTGTCTGATAAGCAAGGGCTGGCTGTGCTTTAGAAGCATTAAGCATTTCTTTTATATATGTCAGCTAAGAAGGGCAATGTATGCCTTGGGCATACCCTGTTGTGTTTACAAACGGCCCTCCATTTGTGAGACTTGTAACCATGGCGATTAAATTTTACAAAATTATTTTGCAATTCGGAGCATGTCACTCATGTTTACTCGAAGATCTAATGGTATTACTTGTATCTTATGTCTGAAAGTATAATGGGTAGTATGGAAGTTTTGAGTCTTTAGAACCAAGCCTCGAGGCTCTTGTTTAGAAAGGGCTATATTCGGGATATTGTATAAATAAGTAGCTTCCTATAAATAAACGTTTATGAGGCAAGCCTTTGTACACCGCAGCTGTCCTCAAACTTTTTTAGAACTCGGCTCTTAGGCGCCCGTTTCTGGGATGAGCAGCGTTGGCGTCTGCATAACTGCGCGTTGCATTATGGGATGTTTCCCCGCTAAAGTTAGTAAGAAAATTTTCCCGCAAAATTTCACAGAAAAATATTCTTGCTAACTTTGCTGAGTTAGGTTTTCCCGCTAAATTTAGTGGGGAAATGGACGTCCATGGCCTCAACACAAATTCAGTTTCCCTGCTAAATTTAGTGGGGAAAATGGCGCCACAACTTTGTGTCACGTCACCCATGAACAAATTTAGCGGCAGGAGGAAGAGGAGGGGAATGCCCTTCCCTTTGTACCACCCTGCTCCTCCTCAACAACTCTAGTCCTCAAACCTTTTTAGAGCACGTTTTCGCATTACAAAGATTTGTAAACGTCTTTTTTCTTTAACTCCCCGTTTCCTCGAGTGATAGTCAATAAACCTCTCTCCCCCTTTGATATTCGTGGAATAAAACAATTTGGAAGCTTACAAACTGTGCTGGTAATAACACACATGTCATAGTTGCTGAAAGGATTAGAACGGCAGGGTGTGGCCTTTGAGTGCCTGGCCTTCAGCACAGGACGCGCTCCATGCCCTCCACCATGCCTTGGCTGCGCTCGCGTGCTCGAGGTGCACAAGATGTCGGAGTGCCGTCAAAGGCAAGAAGCTTGTGCTTGAAGCTGGGTTACTGAAGCCCCTTCCTGCCGCTCTCATCGCCTTGTCGGGGACCACAGAAAGAAACATAGAAGTGTTCTGCTCGTAGTCGTGCCTCAACACCCCGATCGCTCGAGTATTTAAACATTCTTGGATTGCTTAAACTAAATAAACCACTTGGCGATGGTTGGGAGAATTCGGGTGCCAAAGGAAGTGCTGGGAGTAAAGTTATACAGGAACTCTAGCTGGGGGAGTATCCTGGGGAACCCCTGGGACTTTGAGGATGCAGTTGTGTCTCGCGCTAATATGGAGACATCCAAAAACATTTTATGTAACGTGACTTGTTCATAATACCGAGACCAAAATTTATCTGTTTACCCAGTTCGTCCCTGGTAATGGTGTCTGTATACACGTTTTCATCTCGGTAGTTACCTGACCGGCAGACAGAGGGCGCTGACACACGCGGCGCCGTAGGGAGCCTTCATACGCGCACACGGCACGTATGAAGGGCACCCTAGGCACGCCGCGTGTGTATGAAGGCTCCCTACGGCACCGTAGCCAAGCAAAGATTAAGTGAATGGTGGCAGAAAGCGAGAGAAAACTAGGTGTTTTCTTATTAACTGATGGCAAGGGGGTTTTATTGCCCCACTTTCTTTGCAGTGCGGAGTGAATATAGATTTCCCATTTAAATATTCTAAGCTTAAATGGTGCAACAAAATGGCTAGGTGGCATAAGCTACCGCCCGATCCAAAGGGCTCAGCAGGATTCATTTATCCATCCATCCATAGGGTGGTTTCAATTTGGTTGGTTTCAGTTTCAGCGTACTCGCGGCTGTGTTGGTGTGTTACATCAAAGTTTCACTTAGTTCTGCAATATAAATGGATCCCGTGTGGTACCCATTAAATGATACTGTGGTAATGGGCCACCCTTGGGAACTATGACGTAGTTACTAGCCTAACTTTTGTATGTTTTTACGAACACCATTTGATAATGTTCGTCGTTTGGCAAAGCTTGGCAGCGAAACAACTGAAATGATGCAGTAGGAAGATTACCGATGTCTACGGCTGTAGTGTACGTACCGCCTGACACTAGTTTCCATAAAAATAAACTATACTTCGTTTCAGCTTAGGTCCGAGCGCGGCCGATGTTATGAGCCGAAGGGCCAATCAAAAAGCGCAACGTCATGGCGTGCTCCCTGCGCTTGATAGGACTAGCCGGAGAGGAGCACGCACAGCGAGACGGAGAATACCGGCTGGTCCTATCAACTGCAGGGAGCATGCCATGACGTTGTGCCTCTTTCGCTGTTTGATTGGCCTTTCGGCTCATAACATCAGCCGGGCTCGGACGTAAGCTGAAATGAAGTATAGTGAAGACGCTAATGCATGGTGGCACAGTGAAAAAGGAGGTCGACAACCTGACTAACAATGTGCTGAATCGCAGAGAACAGATGAACTTGCAAGTTAGTGCTTACTGTTCAATTTTCGAGGACACTAACAGCTTGTAAAAATTGACGACCAGGAATTCCCCTTGTAATGACGCATGGAATGCAAAAAAGAAGTGATATTGTCTCCATCGGTTTGTTTGAAGAAATTAAGAGATGGTCTTGATGGTCCATCCTAGGCGGAGTAGAAAAATTGTTCAACTATTGGCCCCGCTAAACCATTCATAACCAGCATTTCAGGATGTTGACCTTAGGAAACTGTTATACGAACACTTCCTTGCAACATATTTAGAATATGAGATAAGGAACAAGCCGTCGATTGAAGTCTGACGTCTGACTTCCGTATAATTTGCGAAAAAATGGCACAAGAGAATTGACCTCCAGAAAGTGTGGATGAAGTCAAATGCTAGGCACCACTTCATGACTTTGTGTACACACATCTTTGTTTGTTTAAACAAATGGGGCGTCGATGCCGCTTTCAGCGCTGTTGACTCTCGACTCTCGACGTCGCTTTCAGCGGCATCAAGAGTAAATCCGGCATCGACAACGCTGCACTCGTGTGATTTCTAGGCACACGGCTTCCTTTCAGCGTCACATATGGTGTGCCTCAGGCACCTTTGTCAAGCACTCACAAGATGTCTTTGACACGTTTTTCACTTGGGGAGTCCAATTCCTTGTGTTTAAATAAATTAATGAAATTGGACATCTTAACAAATTTTAATGACTGCAGACATGGGACCTAGAACAATGTATAGTATCTTTAAATTCATAAATAAATCGATCGAGCGAACGCTTGTACTGCAAAAATTGTTCTCTCATATAATCAAAAGCAACTGTTTTGGATTTGTTATAAAGGCAGAGCACAATGCTTTCAAGAAACACGCATCATAGCTCCTTCTGTTGACTATATTTGTTTTCTTTAAGATCATAAATGCACCAGTGCTAACACTGATTCCTTTCCTCACGTATCCGATAGTCAAAACAAGCTATTAAATCAAGTGCACAAGTTGTGCACATAATGATGGCATGCAATTAGGCAGTAAAAAAAAGTATCAGACGACACTTCACAAAGCAAGGCAAAATATTGTGGTGAAACAAGACGAAAAAATGAAAGACATACAATTCTCTGTAATGCGAAATAAGAGTGCAGTTCTTGAGGAGTAAGGGAGGGTACGGAGGGGAGGATATGCCGCTCCGTACCCTCCCCTCTTCCTCTCCTTCTCCCCTCCCAGTTAGAGGGGAATTTAGCAAAAATCTTCCCTGGGAAATTTAGCAGAAATTTTCCCGCTGAATTTAGTGGGAAATTTTTTCTACTAAATTTAGTGAAAACTTTTCCTGTCGCCCTTCACCCCGATGGACGGGGTCCCCCTACCCATCACTTCCGCCGATCCAGAAGAGATCCTCAAAACGTCAGTGGTTGAGAATCACTGCTCTGGAATAAAGCATGCGCTCTTTCTGAAGGGAAACACTTTGATGAACCGAGATTTCTATCGGTGGAAATCAATTGTATTACTTGTGCCAGTGAAATGTATTCAATGCAGAGATCTAATGGAGCCTATTTCATACAGGTTATCTTCACCAGCACCACCACCACCATCACTGTCACTATGGAAAATTTCACAATAGAAAGAAACTTGAACTCAATCACCTAGAAGACCAGCTGTAGCAACAAGCTTAGAAAAAATCTAATGTTTTACTGAGGGCAGGTGGGTGCTTTTCTCTTATTCTCTCAAAACTTCTGCTCATCCTGTTTTTACTGAAGAGTTGGACGAAGATTACACTTCTTTCAGGAGGAGGCTACTTGACAATTGCGTGGAATAGCTCTTTGCCATAATTTTTTTCAGTAGCAAGATTTCGTGGATCTGTATAGATAAAGGAATCAATCTGAACTTTTGTAGAGTGCAAGTATTTGCCTGATCAGTACAGAGGATTCAATAATTCTGGTTATGGAGTAGGGAAATTAGACAGTGCCCGCTTGCATTTTGATTACGGAAGTCAAGGTATGATGGCTGATTTGACAGATGGTCATGCAGGGCCAAATACCAGAACAGCTGTAAGTGGTAGGGACAGAAAAGGTAATGAAGGTGGTTGTTTTTCAAGAAATGTCAGTGGCTCCACAATTTTCATTGGAGCAAACTCATTTTATCGTATTATTTTGATGTATGCCTCAAGAAGTGTGGTGAATTTTCTCTACACTGCTGTAAAAAAAGGAGGAGATAATCTTCACTTGAAAACTGAGAAATAAAAAATTGGGTGAAGGAAAATTAAAATTTCTTAATATTATCCAGTCCTAAATAATCTGCAACGATTCAGTTTTTTAATTGAAACCAACTCCATCATTTGAAACAATATTGTTTCATATTGAACCAGAAAAGTCTCATGTGAGTTAGAGATATGAATACAAAAAGATACTTTGTGATTGTAACTCAAGCATATGAGGTGGTTATGCAGTCAAGATTTTTCAGGAAAACTGACATTACAGTGGCGATTATCTATACTACAGACATTGCCATCACACAATATTTTAATGTGTGTAAGCTCATTTCCTTACAAACTTTTAAGTATTTTTCTCTTTTTTTAGAGATGTCTACTGGGAACTATTTGAGAAACCTAATTTCTTTGTTTGAGATAATGCTTACTATAAGCAGTATGACGGTCTTAGATCCTTCAAATATGTCATATGGATTATATGGGATGGTTACTGCTCTACTTTTACTGAACCAGTATAAGTTACAGAGAAAACGTTTATAGTATTGCATGTGTTTGATGCCCACCAATGGTGGATATTTTCATCGCCCCTTCTTGGCATGTAGGATATTTTTGTACACATTTGACATCTTAGCTCAATATATGTATATATGAAATTACAAATAACAAAAACATGTTACAGTGTGTGCTTGTCTATTTTGTACTTCCTATAATTGCGTTCCAATGTGCTCGTTGATATCTTGATTGCTATCTTAATATTTTAATGACCAGAACCAGTACTGGACTGCAGAAAGTAAAATACATGTTTCGCTTTAGTTTGTGTTTTTTTGCTGCTTTATTTTGTAAAACGTTCAACCAACTCGCCCAACTTTCTTTCTTGTTGAAATATGTGTGACTGAAAGGCAAATACAGCTTAAAAAGGAAGAAAAATAGGAGTATTGTTTTGCAAAGTGGCTAGCACATTTACCACAGGAATTTTTAAGTTAAAATTTTAAATTTAGAATGTCACCAAAATTTTTGAGAGGCTTTTGTCCCAACCAATTGTGAAGTATCGCATCAAAAGAAAATAAGTATAATCCCAAAGAACCCTGCCAAAATTGTGAAAAGTTCCTCAATATGTGTGTCTTTCTTTTTCACTTCATGCAGCAAGATCAGTCTGCTCACTCCCGAGTGCAATCTTTCTACACGGTTAGCCTGGGCACCACAAGGTCCCATCAGCACCTAAGGTGGTTTCACATGGTGCGGCCATCGTCGGGCGTCCACAGCTGTGGTGCCGCGGCAAGAACAGAAGCTGGAAAGCTTTGTTGTGATGCCAATAGCCCCCGCTCATATCATTCCTCCAGAGCGGGAGTCTAAGAACAACAGCCACCCTTCTTCCTTCACCGTGGACTCTTGAGGGCCAAAGCAGAACAACAGCATCAACGACCGGAAAAAAGAACAAGCTATGCATTCTCCCCCATTCCCTGAGAACTCGGTCGCCGGGGCTGGAGACTGTTTGTCGCCTGGCGTCGCTCTTCACGGCCGTTTCGTTTGTCTCGTCTCGGACAGCCGGTTATGCCCAGCAGAGTTTTGCCAGGTGGATGACTACTGCTATTACTACAACTACTACTACTACTCCCCTGGATGGTTATGCAGGACGACGTTTATATTGTATATTGTGCCTTCAGTTTGAGTTTGTGACTCCTCGTTATGTTGAACTGCCAGCAAAAACGGATAGTGGGCGGTGCGCAGTGACGTGTTTCTTCTTGCCGACGTGGGCGACGCATACATTATGCCTCAAGGATAATGCGTGCAAGAGGATTCATTAGCGTTACTATGGTAGTCAGAAAAAGGATAACAAAGGTGTCGAAGTGAGGGTAGTTGCCTAGTTTACTATCTGTAAAAAAGAAAAAGACATCATGCTCAAACATGTAAAAAGTATGTATAAATGCGAGTGTGTTAAAAGGATATATATATATATATTATATGAGCTGGTATACAGATATACTGTGTATACTTGCACGTGAAGCAGAAAAGTATCACGCCCCCCCCCCCCCCCCCCCCCCCCCCAACAGCAACCAAGTTATTTTTGGTTTGGCTGTGTGGGCCCGGTTTATTGATTTTGAGAAATGACAAATCTTATCACCTTTGTTTATGCTTTGATGCTTAGTTTCTTCTTGTTTCATGCGTAAAGGCTTATGGAAATGCAGAAGTGACATTGAATTTTGTCTTCCAATTCGCTGGTGTCTAGAGTTGCAAGGTGACCAAGTGCATCCAAAACTTGAAGGTTTGTTGAGCATTAGGATGTTGTATATGTGTGTGTGCCTGCCTGAATGTATGAGAACCTGCATTTTATCTTCTGTTGTTATCTCTTAAATGCTCAGATATTTCCTTGTTTCTTGACAAACAGAAGGAATACAAATAATTTGAGACTGGCAGGCAAAAAATGCACATTGACACCCCTCATTTATGTACTGCAACCTTAGGAGAAACTGCTCATTGGCAATTTCAATTCTTAGGCTCTTTGGAACAGTGTCATATTTATCTGCAAGTGAGATGATTGGCTACAAACCAGGGTGAATTAGAAATTGAGCTCATGCTACTTTCATTTCAAATCTCAGTCACACCAGTTGAACAGGGGCGCCAGCCAGATTAATTACTAGATAAATGACTGCTGGCAAGTTACACCTCAGCCAATCATTGCATTGCAAAAACAAAACATAGAACTTTGAAACTTGCTTTGTTCCTCTATCTTGTGGGCTGCTTTTAGGACATCTTGTTGTCAATGCACTCTGCTGAATCTGACAAAATAATCTTTGCCTTTTTTTTCTCAGCTTAGTATATTGCAGTTTGAAAAGAGGCAATGAGTGAGGCCTATTAAAGCAGTCATCTTGCATACAGTTAACTATGGCACTTGGTCTCTCTTGACCATTGTTTCCTTCTAGCCACAGGGTACTTGAATAATGTTTACGCTGGGCAGCTCTTCTTGATGCTGATTCAGGACAGTCTTCTTAAAACTGCTTCATCATGGTTGGCAGATTTGCTAAGCCATCTTAGCTGTAGGAACAACTGCTCACAATAGTAGGTCTGTAGACTACAAATGTTACCTAGCTTTGAGGTTGGTGTTAGACAGCCACAACTTTGAAAAAAAAAAGCCGCAAAACATTTTGGAATTTTTTTATATTATAATTGTTTAAAACTTTCTTTCCTGAGGTATAAGGATGTGTGGTGTTACTGCTTCGATTGCACGCCCATATTAAAGCAATAAGAAGTTTTAAAGTAACTATCCAAAATGGGCAACTGGAAGGCCTTGAGTGGGCTAATTTGTCATTGCGCTTTCACTCTGCATTCCAAACTCATGGTCTTTTAGTGAAGAAGTTACTTTCTGATCTATTGGCAAAAAGTTCAGTTGCATTTCCAACATTATTTAGAATATAAAACCAAACACATACTTTTTTTAATTTTTTTTATGGAAGTTCTTATGAAATATGTATGTTTAGTTCATCAGGCTGATTATTGGCATGATGAAAAAATGACGAAACAAAAAGTGAGATTAGCTCTCCACACTTGTATGACTTTACAGAAAGAACAAAAAAACGAATAAAAAAAAAAGCTTGAAGCCAGGATGTGCAAGGGCGAATCAAAGGTCTGTTGTGTAAACCAACCTTCTCGCGAAGGCAGATTTGATGAAACAAAGGGGTGGGGAAAAACTCGTGCTTTCTTAATCATATGGTGCACGTAAGTTTTATACATATACTACCCATTTTGAGAAGTCGTTTATAGAGCCGTCATGAAACACGGAAGTTAAGAAAAACGAATGGAACATAATTGCTGCTGCTGCTTAAATATATACTGATACTCAATTTTTGTCACAGTTACAAGCCTGGCGCACTACATTTCGAAACATATTTTTCAAAACTGACGAGAAAATAAAGAACTCGTGTGCGAAAGAAAAAAAAAAGCGACCGAAAATTGCACGAAATTTAGAACACCGGAAAATAGTTCCACACAGTTTCTTGGAAAAAGAAGAACAAAAAGCTAGCCATGTGTAGCCATTATTCAGAAATCAGAAAGGTGCGTTTATCTCAACCACATTTGCAATTTACGTGCAGTAACAGCACTTTTTTTTTCTTTCTTTTTTTTTTTTTTTAATAATGTGTAAGACGAGTTTTTGCATCTTCCAAGTTCGATGCGATTTCGGGTCGGTTTCTCGCACATCTGATCCAACTTTTAATTGTTATTTGTTTCCAGTCAACAAAGCTGTAATGAGTTAATTTTATTTACTGCTACGATTATTTTTATTGCAGTTCTACACAAAAAGCACAGATATGAATGCTCAGGATTTTGCTTCCCAACAGCTTCAGGAACAAGCTTTTTGTACTTCTGTAGGTAGACATTAAATGATCCAAGATGAGCCATAACCTAGACGTGATAGAATTTTGTATCCCAGTTTTGGTGATTGTGTTGTAAAAACCAAATGCTATTCGTTTCTGTTTTCCTTTTCCAAGTTAATGTGGTTTTTCGCGCTACAAGCGGTTATTTGGTTCCAAATAGAGACGCATCGCAGATGGTCAAAATGTGGGATTCATCTGCGAAAAAAAATGTACAAATACCCATCTGTTTCCTTGACATAGTACCTCTTGTCAAAAACATTGATTTCAGATGCTTTTTTAGCCATTGTGTCCCGTCTCTCTAAAGGGGAAAAACATTTTTTTAGACTAAGCCTTTTTGAATTCCTGTCCTGCATTTAGTATTTGCCATTTGATGAAAGGAAAAAAAAGATATGGCCGTAGATGAGGAAGACAACAAAATGCACGATGAAAGAGTACCCCTGTAGTCTTTTTTTGATGTTCGCGGCCTACCTGGCATTTACAAACTTTTAAATTACTGCCCTAAACTTAACATTCCCGTCGCACCACCCGGTGGGAATTCTGTATAGTTGTAGTGCCAATGTGTTTTGTATTCACGAGAATAGGTGCTTTTCTCTGTTAAACTTTGTTGGGTTTGATTTTAACGCGATTTTACCAGCAGACGACCCAATGATGCGATTACGAAGAATTCCAGCATTGCGTTATAAAGAGTACATTATGAGAGAGCATTGATTGCTTCAGGAGGCGTGAGTGATTTGCCTCTCTGTTGAATACGCTTCTCTGCGTCTGTTGTCGCGATCAGACACGGTGACCGTTGCGCTACTTGATTGTTTTAGGACGCGTGCTTAGTCTCTTGTGTTGGGTGTTTTGATAATGTTACCGAGAAAGGTTTCATGTGTAAATAATGTATGCTACGCATTAAAATATTATTAGTTTGAGCAGCCTGGTTTCGACAGTCTGCGCTTTTCATTGCCGCGAACTTTCATGTAAATGGTTCCCTGGGTATATTTCGTTTCTCACTTTATTAGGTTGCTGCGCGCTTCGTTCGTAACTGCAACGAAGAGGTTAGGTGCTCCCTACACGTCGAGGGAGCTTCTCAGCACGCATTGGTGTCATACGGGGAAACAGCAATTCGCGCGGAAGTAAAAATAAAAACGACGCAAACAAGGTACGGAATGCAGCACTTCGTTTGTGCATGTTCCACCTGTCTTTGCGTTCTTTTTTTTTTTTTTTTTTGCACTGTTATTTTTATTTTATTTTTATTTTGCTTAAACATTGCTTTAACTTACATAAACAAATTTGTGCGTGTTAACATGAAAACACAAGACATTTTACTTTCGACATACACGATTTTTTTGTAAAAAATATATCGTGCGTGTCGAAATAAAAAAAAATATATAGTGTTTGTCAAGATATTTTGTAAAAAAAAACCTAAAAAAAAAGAACCTCGTGCTCTTTACTTTTTTTTTTTTTGTAATTTTGCAGTTTTGTTAGTGACATCTCCATCTGATTTGTTTATTTGACTATTTTGGGTCTTTGCCTGAAGTGATAACAATTAAAATGGAACCGCTCCTACAAGAGCAAGCACACTGTCGTTTCTACATGATCGATTAACTCCGACATTAATCGAGCATAACATTTATTTTAAAAAAAATGTAAAATCCATTCATACGACAGTTCTTGCTTTTCTGCGAGCTTTGTAGCAGCAGTCTGAGAAAATACTTGCAGTTTAATGGTGATATTTTTTAGGGAGAAAATATTAAGCAGCTTTTAGCATTGTCTTTGACGGTTTGTCTGCTGAGCGAGAGTTAGTGCAGCCGAAGTGCGTCCTTCAGCGAAGTGCTCGCGCTGGCAGCCCATAGTGGCGGAATTGTGACTACCATGAAAAAAATCTGTTAAGCAAAAATTAAAACGAGACACAAGGCAAATGGAAACAATAGTACACTCTATGTAAATACGCTATAAGAGCAGAGCTACGTCTCGAGCGGTAATACATTGGCAACATGATTATTATTGTACGGCATGCCATTTCAAGCGCTCAAGGCATGGGAACGGGCTCACGCAGTCCCTCGCAGTCAGTCGTCTGCGGGCCGCGTCCCAGCGAGTGACGGGCCGCGTCTGCTTTACTCACGAGTCTGCGACGAAAGACCGCATCCCATGCATAAAAGGGCTTCCCTAGTGCAGCCAGTAGAGTGGCCTAGAATGGGGGAGTGGGTTGACCGCGCCCGCTTGCTGAGGAGGTTCATTTCTAAATTGAGAGATGGCGCTCCGCGGAACCTTAGCCTAGAGTTCCTGTATAGAGCCTATACAGGAACTCTACCTTAGCCTAGAGTGCCTCAATGTTGCTGGCCGGCAAGCAACATTGAGGCACTCTACCTTAGCCCAGTGCCTTAGCCTACTCCTGAAGCCTTCCCGCGCGCTTCTGCGATCGCGTGCGTATCAGCGCGTGTGCGCGTCCAAATGCCGACTAACAATACATCTACCAGTTCGTTACACTTCATGGCCTTATTCTTGATTTTGTTGTAGACGATAATATTTGAGGGACTAATCGTCTTTTTAAGCTTCCAAGCTGCTTTTGGAATATATTCCGATAGCGTAACACCTGCATTGAAAATTCCACTGGTATTGCCAGCATTACAAGTTCCGCAGTAAAATATCACAAATAGTCAAGACTTCTCTTTGAAATCAACATTTATTCACAAAACCATTTTATCACCAAAAGACAGTTTACGAACTTTTTCTATACTGACTGGAATCACACAAAGATGTTAGGAGCACCAACTATTTTTCGTGTGCTTGACCTTTTTTTTTTTTTTTTTTTTTTTCCCCGCTTTATTGCTGTGCACCGAACAAAAACACCTATGGTATGCCCTTCACGCGAGCGTATCCTGTTCTACAGCCAGGCGCAAAACAGTAGTTTCGCCGGCGATTAGGCATTCTTGCATTAGAGTCGAAGAACAAAACCACTAGACAACAGTAAACACAGTGACCACACGGCAAAGCCACGCAGTCGGTCACACGCGAGCTGCAGTCACTCACTCAACGCCAACACCGAAGCCAATGCAAACACACGCGATCCAAACCAACGCTTCTTTTTGCGCCTGTAGGTCGTGCGGCTGCGGATGTGACGTATTTTCGTGACGTCGCGCCACTTCTTCGCTCCTTCTGGGCGCGCACAAAAAAGTTAGATAATTTCAACTTCTTTCTCAACGCACACAAAAACGCGCGGTGACGTATAGGGCGCTCCTGTGTCCCGGCCAATCGGTGGAGGGCCAGCTAGTTCCGGCTCCGCGTTTCTTCGCCGCCTTCTCAGAGCAAGTGACAAAAGCGCCCGGTGCGCGTCCACAATTGGCCCTCTCCTCCCCCCACTTTTATTCTCTTCCAACATAACAACGCGATCTCTCTCTCTCTCTCTCTCGCCGCCTTCTGGCTGCGACAGACTGGCCTGGCCGGCCAGTCTGTTGCGCGCGTGCGCGCTTGCCCGAAGCTGGCCCGTCCAAACCAAAGCGCACGGTTCTGACTCAGAAAGCGCGCCCGGAAACAGCAAAAACGTCAGGAAATGCGTCACATCCGCAGCCGCACGACCTACAGGCGCAAAAAGAAGCGTTGGTTTGGATCAGGTCGACAGCAGCGCCCCCGTCGGCCTCCGACACAGACCGCATCACCTCGAAGCATGAGCGAGAGAGGGCGGTGAGCTCACTACCCCATTTCCCCATCCAAGTGCCGCGCAGAGGAACTAGGACAGGCCGCCATGTTTAGGTCACTATGGCAGACGACACGCACCATAATGCTGTTGCTGCCCAGCATTTTACGCTCGCCTATGTGTAGTGACGGGTGATTACACCTGGCGGAACTGCACACACAGGATCTGGGCACGAGGAAGCAGGTCGGTTCTAACTTGACTCCAATGAAACAAGTAACCGCGATGCTTGGGTAGTTCAGTGCTCTCCAAACTTAACGCCGCCACTGGGTTCCCAAATATACAGCTTGTGTCGGCTACTTACTGTTAAATTTGGCACCAAAACGTTCGGGATGCCTTCTCAGGATGGGATAGAAATCGGGAATCCAGACATTCTTCAGATAGTTGAATCGGCCGCTGCAGGGACTGTCAGAAACGGCAAACGCCGTGGCGACGTTAAGTTCGAGGCGCACTGTACAGTACAATAGTGTGATGACGTAAAACATGCTGTCAGAAGTAGGTGAATTACGAACTTATATCAGCATATATGTTGTCAACATATATCGACAAGACAACATGTATCATCCAGGAGCTGCCTGCGATGGCCGGAGCCGGATGTTGACAAAACGACAAATACGTGAGGGAGTGTAGCGGGACAGCCGCTTATCCATTCTTTTCGGGTATTTCTGCCCCATGGGCACGTTGGCTTTTTTTCGGCAAACGAACAGACACGGAATATTCTCTAATATATACCCAAGCTTTATTTGTACGACAGGAGCGCGTAAACGACGACCTGAACACGTGTCACCAAGAGTGTAGAAATTTCGCCAAACTCTTACGCTACAATTATAGGTTATATTTAGCATTCCGTGGTATCAAATAAATCCAAAACATTCCGAAAAACACTTGCTGGTAAAATTTTCCTCAGTTCGGATTTATCCGAAAAACTCAGAATTTCGAGGTCACGGTGGCAAAATGAAAAGCACACAAAAAATACGGTATTTTACGAGTAAGGTTTGTCAGGCTCGGGGTCTGTAGTCCTAAAAAAAGCCATATCCATTTCTTTTTTTAGTCTAGGATTATTTACAAAAGGGAGTTTCCCGTTTATCTCGTCAATGTTCATTCGGTACACTGGGCCAATGGCGACGACAAATGCACTGTTCCGGTTTCAAGTTAGCTTTGTGCTTCTCACAGGAAGGCTTGTGTTTCCACAACATTGAAAGTTCTAAACCTGTAGGTTTCAGAGTACGGGGTAAGGGAAGCTGAAGCGTTTATGCTTCCCAACGACTATCAGGAGTTGGGCTATTTCAATTAGTACCAATGTTTATTGAGGCAACACTGATTTGCAAGATTTGTCGTCGGACATTCAGTACTGCCAATTGCAAGGACAGCAGGACGCCAAATGCAGCTGCTGAAATATTTTTCGATACCGGTGCTTTTTTTTATAAATTTAGGGCACATTTTTAATGCGCTGGCACCAGAACACTCGTTTTCACGAAAACCCGGCGGTGTCAGTCCCTGCATGCCGTGGCGTCCGTTTGTCAGCGCAATGCATGATGTTGCAAGGAGGAGGGTGGTGAGGAGATTTCGTGTTTACAGAGTAAAGCGCGAAACACATGTACGACGAAACCTTCCGATCCAACGTGCGGACTGCCGGAATGACCTTGGGGGGAGAGGGTTTTCGTAGCATCGGAGAGCGTTGAAAACCCTCGCCTCCGACCGTCGTATTGCGCGGTCGGACGTCGGATCGGACGGTTTCGTCGTACATGTGTTTCGCGCTTTAATGTCTCATCACGGCGGCGGGGAGAGAGGGAGAGGGTGACGCGTGCTGACGTCAGCGCTTCGGACCAATACGAGCGTCGCATAGCTGGCGCGTAGCCAGAGACGAGCAGGCGCCGCGAAGCTTTGGAATGCTGCCCAGCTGAGTTGCCGCTGCTGCGATGGATGTGGTTCTTTCCACGAGTGATATGGCTGACCTATCCGAGAGCGACGACGGAAAAAAGCCGAGGCCACGTGTCGGCGACGTCAGACCGAGACAGAAGAAGAGCGTAAAGCGCGAGACACATGCGCGTCAAAACTGTCCGATCCGGCGTGCGAACTGTCGGGAAGATGGCTGCTCCGAATCGCCGCACAGGACGGTTCGCGACACATGGTTTCCGACGCGTCGTTGCGTCGCTCCGTTCAGCTCCGCCCAGTTTCGGGTGTCCCTCTCACCCTCTACCAAATGGATGGATGGATGCTAATGGCTATAGTTATAAC